GGATGATTTCAACAGTTCAGTTCTAACGAACATAGATTCAGCCTGGGTGGGATTAAAAAAAAAAAAAAAACTAGTTTTCTATTTTTACATGAACGAAATAAAACATTTTGGAATTTATACACACTGCATCTTTAGAAAGAGAGCATATTTTCTTCAGGACTTTTGCAAATAAAAAAGGATTATTTTGAGAAAAATCCATGTTTACTTAGAGAAAAATCCGTGTTGTGGCTGCCAACTTCAAAAATGAACAGATACTCTGGTGTTGCTTCATTGGAGACCAGATTTGAATTTAGGCTTGTCTCCATGTTCCTATGTTACAATGAATTTCATTATTGTATGTACTAAATGAAAAGTTTTTTCTTTCTCTGAAACACTTGTATCTAGTGTTTACCTCAGACTGATTAGTTTTCACTGATTTCTGTATTATGATGTAATTTATCCAGCTGACATGCACCTACATTCAAAGAAAACGCCATAATTCAAAAATCAAAGACCTTCCTACTAGAAGAAAATGTAGGCTGATATCTTTGTAAAAAATGTCAGATAATAGCTCTGTGGTCTGACAGTAATACTGTTTAAACAAGATCAAATAGCTTTGACACTAAGGAGGAAAATCGATAGATTTTATTATATTTCAGTTAAAGATTTCCAACCAACAAAGGTCAAAATGGAGAAAGTCAGAAGATAAATTACATACTGGGAGAAAAGATTTGCAACATCTGAAAGAGACGGGATTTATACCTTGAAATGTCAGAAACTCCTGCAAATTCACACAAAAAAGCAAAAACGTCTTAATGTCCTTTGCCCAACTGAAAAATGGGCAAAGGACATAAGCATTAAGTCACTGAATGGGAAATCCCAAATGTCTAATGAGTATATAAGAAGAGTTGCTCAAATTCATCAGTAATGTAGGAAATGCAAATTAAAACAATAATGAGAAATCACTCCTCACTTATTAGATTGGCAAATATTAGAAGGATAAAGTTATCCTTAAAATAAAAAAAAAAAAGTGCCCATCATCTCATCAGCAAAAGCTGGTTTATTTGGGAACAGCAGAGAAGTGTAATCACGTACAATCGCACTACCACAAAACCGTAGGCAACTTTGCGGAACACAAGAGAGGACCACTCTTTTATAGAAGAAATGGGGGAGTTGGGGGCCTATGATATAAACAAAAAGTCCATTGGTGGAAACTAGGAGTTTGAAGTATGGTGGATTTTGATTGGCTGAATTGTGACTGTCTCTCATTGGCGGGGCTCTTGATGGTGGGGTGGGGATGAAGAGGTCTTCCTTCCTCCTGCTGGGATAGTAAAGCAATAGCTAAAGTAGCCTAGGGTAAGGTCCTGGTCTTCCTATGGAGTCTGCAATTGACTAGTGGTAGGGCGTGAGAGCTCCCCCTGCTGGCCTCTGTTCTTTATTCGAAATGAAGTTTGCTTAAGGACTTGGACTTGGTAAAATGTGGGGTTAGAGATACCTTTGTCCACTGTAGCGGGGAGTGTAGATTGGCAGAGATTAGGAGTAATCCAGCGCTTCAATCAAACTAGTTATACACACACAGTAGAAATCTTACTCTTGATATATAACCCTGAAAAATTCCCCCACACGGATCCATAGAGCCATGGATGAGGACATTGTGTGCAGTGCTGTTTGCATTACCGGGGAGCTGGCGTCCACCCAGGTGTCACTCATGGGGTGGCACGAAAATGCGGTACCATGAAAATACAGTAAAATGCGGGGTTGGCACACTATTGAGTATGATGAAGCAGTTAGAAGCAAACAACGTGATCAGGGGTTCCCAAATGTTCTCACTTCACAGCACCCTTAGAATCTCAACAAATTTTTCATGCAACTCCTAGGCCAAAAGCGATGGCTAAGAATTCTGTGTATTAAGTAGTTACTCCAAATAGCTGAATATATATTTATGTTCTAACAACCCAGTAGTATTTGAAGAAAACAATGCACATAAATTGGAGGAGAAAATAATATTTCACTGCATTCTTTAATAACCGGAATAACTTCCTAAGAGGATGTGTGTGCCTACCCAGCTTCTCAAATGTTGGCATCGGATTAAACACTGCTGTCCTTATTTTCTGTTTCCCCCTGATTTCCCTGCTGTACTTGCTTCTCACCACAACTGCTGAAGGCACAGCTCTGCAAAGATATATGAGGTTATATTGTAGAAAGGAATGTAACCCAATCTAATATTGGAGAAATAGACTACCTCAGATTAGCAGTTCACGGGGCACCATTTGGGAACCACAGAGTTAGGCATACCTATCGCAGTATGAAGAAACCATAAAAACAGCGCCAAATTTTAAAAAGTACTGGAAAACTAAGACCCAAGGAGCCCCACTGAGTCTGTTCTTGCTGAGGTTTCAATGACCTTACTGCTAAACCAGGGGACAGGTTCCCATGCAGCGTTTAGCCTTGTTGAGCCCTTCTCCTTCCAGAAATGTTCATCCACTGGCTTCCACTCCACCCCTCTCATGATCTCTTTCTGGTCTTTGACTTGTCCTTCACAGTTCCCTTTAGTGGTCTCCATCTGTCCCACTCTGAGCCCTTTCTGCACAAGCTAGCCCATTCCAACTGGGACCTAATAACTCACAACTCATTGTCTTTGGCCCAGAGTCCTTCCTGAGCTGGAGGCCACATCTCCGACTGGCTGCTCAGTGTCTCCACTCAGACATCCCACAGGCACCTGAGACCTACCACATCCCGAGTAAGCTCCCCACCTTCCCCACTCCCCCAGCTGCTTCTCCTCCCGTGTTTTCTAGCTCGGAAAACGGAAGCATTCTCCATCTGGCAGTGGCCTGCAGCAGATTGTATCCATGGCCCCAGTTCTTCACCTTCCCCACACCCACAGCCTTGCCCTGGCCTCATCCCCACCACTTGGCTTTGGGCTGTCCGCGAGACTCTGGCTGGTGGCACAGAGGAAGAAGTGTGGCATGCCGGTTCCGAACTTAGGCCTTCGGAGGCCTCGCATGTTTGCCCTTGCCCTCTTCTGCTCCTCTGCCTCTGTGAGAAGAGCATGGCTAGGGTGCTCTACTCTTCCAGAACAAGAAGGATGAGAGACTTGTGGAACAGAGCCACTCCACCTGAGCCTAGCCTAGATCAGCTGACACCCCCTTTTACCCCCTGCTGACAAGTGAGGGACACTACAAGATTACTCTTGTAAGCCACCAAGTTTGAGGGTGCTTTGTTATGCACCAACAGTTAACCAACCAGGCCACCTAGACTAGAAACCAGGGCATTGCCTTTGACTCCTCCCCCTCTCAGTCCACGTGATTCCCAGAGCTTCCCAAGTATCTCTCAACTCCATTTACTGTCTCCATCCGGGGCACCTCTGCCTTACCTCGGGCCTTATGCAGCCCCATTTTAACCCATTTTTCCTTCCTGCCTTTTGCCCCTATTCTCCACACAGCATCTTCCGACTATGCAAATCCGACCATTGACTTTCCTGGGGGTTGGTTTTGCCCGGAGGCTGGAGTATCAGTTAGAGCCCCAGATGAGGGAAGGAGCCTCACTGGGGATTGTGGGTATCTTGGTCACTGAGAAGAGACCTCACGGGGGCAGTTTCTGCTTTGTTCCCAAGTCAGAGCAGGGGCTCTTTAATGGGTTCTGCGCAGGGAGCCAAGTTCAAGCTTGGAGTAAAATAAGCAAAAGACTGTATTCACTCAGGCCACGGCAGCTCTTCCACAGGGTCCCCCAGAACCACCTCTACTGCTTGGTGTGCTTTCTCAGGGCATCAGAAGAGAGGACAACCTGAGAGACAGCGACGACTTGAAATTACACTTTCTGTCCTCATTCCTTGCTAATGGGCTAAGTCGCAGAAGGGCGCTTTCCTATGTAGGCAAATGGGCCCTCAGACCTCCAGCCTTCTCTGGCCACAGTGAAAGGGCTGTTACACCAAAAGAAAGGATGAGTCACCAGAATGGGGTTGGTGCCACAGCCCACAGAGAAAAGCACCCCTGAACAAGACAAGGCCTCCCTGTGAGACAACTTGAGACTGAGCCAGCAGCCTTGGCCTTCAGAGAGATTTGTATTTTGCCACGGGCCTTCTCACAAGACTGCCCAGAAAATTGTCTTGTTTCGTGTTTAAACACGCAGATTCTGGAGTCAAACTTAATGGTGTTTGAGCCCAGCTCTGCCACTGATCTAGGGACCTCCGGCAAAAGGGAGCATCTGGGCTCTAAGCAGTTCAAGTTCAGCAAGAGGGACAGTAAGGTAATCAGACCTTTGCAAAAGTATGAGAGAGGCTCTGATGGGCTGGGAAGGCCTTGGGAGGAGCATTTCATCTGAGAGATCTTCCTGGAAGAAGTCAGTTCTGGAAATAAGAATGACACAGCCAGGTAGAATGTGGAAAGAGACGGTGTCCTCAGTTCCAGGGGAGAAGGGAGTGGGTCTGATTTTGTTTCTCATGCCCCCTCCACACGTCTGGCACACATTAGACTACCAATACCAGCCGACCCTGGGAAGGAATGAGCCCCCCTGTCCAGAACATGGGAAGCTCTGATTTTAAATACAGAGGTGGGATGTGGCCCTTGTCAGAGCTGGGTGAACATTCAGATTTGCTAGGACCTGACAGGACCCACTGAAGCCCAGCGCCTGCAGCCCCAGGGTACATTTGCCTGTGACCTCCGTGTCACCAGCATGAGTGGACAGCTGCCTTAGCACCCAAGAGACAGCCATGGAAGCCTCCAGGGTCAGGGACACCAGAAAGACAGGTAGGGATAAACTAGGTTAAAGGTGGAACCTCTGGCCCAGACGTCCTCCTCGGGAAGCCAGGCCGCGTTAGGGCAAGAGATATGCAGGAGAGCACAGGTGGATGGGGAGGAGGGCAGGAGAGGAGATACCTGTCTTGTTGCATAGGTGCGAAGCGCACCAGGGCCCGGCCGGACGCGTGTCCCCACCCCGTTCCCCGGCAGGCGGCGCCAGAGCGCAAGCCCGCGAGTGACTCGGGTCCGGGAGTCCAGCCGGGCGGAGCGAGGGGCGGGCCCGGCGTCTCTGGGCGCTGGAGCGCGGCGACACTGCGGCCGCGGGAAGGACGGACGGACGGGCCGCCGGACCGTCCGGGGCCATGGCCGAGCACGCCGCTCGCCCATGCTGCCTGGGCTGGGACTTCAGCACGCAGCAGGTACCGTCGCGGGCCCCGGGTCCGGGCTGGGCGGGGCGGGCTGCCTCCTCCGGGACGGCGGGCTGGCTGGCGGGACCTGGGCGCGGGGAACCCTGGGCCGAGCCGCGGGCGAGCCTCCCTCCCGGCTTCCTGGGGGGGTGCCGGCGACCCCTGCCCCCTGACGTCTTGCCCGTGCCGCCTGCCGGCCAGACGCGGCCGCGACCCTGCCTGGACTCGAGCCCTCCCGGAAACGGTGGGCGCCCCCGCCCCCAGCCCCCGCGGATCCCGCGGGCACGTAGCGGGAAGTGCCCCGAGCGGCCGGGGTCCCGAAGCGCTCGCCCTTCGTGGGCGCTGAGCGACAGGGACCCGAAGGAAGTTGGCCGCCTGAGACTCGGCAACAGACAGACGGTAGACGTTATGCGTGCAGCGGGCATAACCAGTGACCTGGAACCAGATCACTGCTTGAAACTTTTTAGGTGGAATGGGCACGATGTAACGCATGAACTTTGTTCCACCCGTGGTTGGCACCAGCATGCCCAGGTCAACGTACCCGGCACTGCTGGCCCCAGGACGGGCTGTGTTGCTCCCGGGGCAGAGCCAAAATTCCTTCAAACTGGGTGTGGGGTGTCAAGGGGCTCCTTTTCCTTAACTTGAGAAATCAGCACGGGTGCGGTCAAACCCCTCGGTCTCCGCGATGGGTCTGGGAGGCAGGGTTAGACCAGTTTTGACCAGAAATTCCTGTGGGGCTGGGCAGTGAGGTTGCCTTGCTGGGTCTCAGTGCCCATCTGTCCGAGAGAGGAGCTGTACCCCAGAGTTTGAGGTCTGCTCCATCCGGACCTGTATGTCTCTGGACCATGATCATGGCCTGTGGGAACAGCCCAGGGACCTTGTCTGGTTTCTCAGGTCCCTGCATAGACGGGGTCCCCAGAGACATCTCCAAATCCTGCCTCTCATTCCTTCCCCTGCAAGACTTACTCAGGCCTCCTTGCCAGGCTCTGGAATCAGCTCATCTATGAACATCTGGTTCTAAGACGATCTTGGCTTTGGTTGTTTAGGGGGCAAAGATGCCTTGAGCTGTATGGGTGTTTCTACTTTGCCTCAGCCTTTTCATTTTACCTACTCTTTGGGTATGTTCCCAGAGGAGGCCTCTGTTACTGTGGTTACAGTGATGTACCCCCAGCCTTCTGGGAGGTCTCCAGGCTGAGCCACTCACTGGGGTGTGGGGCTTCACCTGGTGATGTTCCTACCCCTGGACCAGTGTAGAAGCCAAGGAAAATTCTATACACCATTTTTAAAAATGCCTTCCAGGTGAAAGTTGTTGCTGTTGATGCAGAGCTGAATGTGTTCTATGAGGACAGTGTGAATTTTGACAAAGACCTTCTAGAATTTGGGTATGTACATAGTATATGTGTGTTGGGGGGGTTGGTTTTGGGGTTGTCCCTTAACCTTTTACGTTCATTAACCACACTATTCTGGTGTGATATTGTGATTTAGAAGAAATACATGTTTGGTCATTCAGATGGCCAAAATATATTTCTCACATGCATTTGGTCTTCATCCATAGTTCCTGCCTCACAGCTCCCAAAACCCTTGGAACTTCCTAAGTGTTGAGAGTCAGAAAGGTGTCTGTTGGTACGTTAATGGAGGTGACTTTTGGACCCCACCTGGGGGTAGGGGCTGGTTGCCCAGAAGACCAACCATGTGATAAGAGGGTTGGAATTTTCAGCTGGAGATTGAAAGGTCAATGGCTAATGATTAAGACCTGACTGTGTAATGAAGCCTTCACAAGAACTCAAAAGGATTGGGTTCAGAGAGCTTCTGGGTTGGTTTGGGCAGAGTGGCATGCCAGGAAAGAATATGGAAGCTCCTTGCATTTTCCCCATACCTCACTCTATATACCTCTTCATCTGGCTGTGGATTCCTGTCCTTTATCATGTCCTTTAATAAATTGGTAAACCTAAGTATGAGTTTCCCTGAGTTCTGTGAGCTGCTCAAGCAAATTAAAAGAACCTAAGGCCATTGGAACCAACAATCTGTGACTGGTTGGTCAGAAGCACAGGGAAAAAGCTTAGGGCTGGCGCCAGGCATCTGAAGTGGGTTGGGTGGGCAATGTTGTAGGACTGACCCCTACACTGGGATTTGATGCTGTCTCTGGGTAGATAATGTCAGATCATCTTCTGGTGTCCAAGAATTGCTTGGTGGTGTGTGTAGAGGACCACCATCCCCACCTGTCCCCCACTATATTAGAGTTGCGTCCAAGAATCTGAGAGCTGATATATCTATAGATCCATCTTTATCAAACTGCAGGCGTGGTGGTAGACCTCTCGGCATCCTTTTTTTCCTGTGCCCTGAATGTGTTTTCCATTCCTTCCCAGTTCATGCACTCGTTCATCCATACTTGCAGTAGGTATCAGTTGAGACTTGCTTTGTGTCAGGCACCATGCAGGGTATCAGGATTTGATGGTGAACCAGGGACGTGGTCCTTACTTTCCCAGAGCTTCCTGTTAAGTAGGGGAGACTGATACCAATCAAGGACTCTGACAAAATAATATTTGATTATAGACTCAGAGGAGGCCATTAAAGGAAAGGAACTCACTTCTCCAAATGTTTATTATAAAGGAATGTGACCCAGACTTGGGGAATGGTCAGGAAGCATCCGGAAGGAAGTAGTGCTTTAGCCAAGGTCTGAGTGAGTGGGGTTTGCCTGGTGATAGAAAGGAGAGAGCGTTCTGGGCAGAAGAAGCAGTGTGTGCAAAGGCCCTGTGGCAAGAAAGAGCACTGCTTATTCAGTGAATTGAAGAAAGCCAGTGTGGCTGGAGAGCAGAGAGGGAGGTGGAGCCTGGGCTGGGTGACATAGGCCTGGGTACACGTTTCTCTATATCCTAATACCTATGAAGAGCCCCTGAAGGACCATACAGATGGGAGTAAGTTGTGACACAGTTGTATTTGTATTTTAAACAGATCTCTCTGGGTGCAGTGGGAGATCAGTTGGGGGTTGGTCAGTATGCATGTTGGGAGACCATGGAGGTGTGTCAAGATCATCTGGATGGGAAATGATAGCATCTTGGAAGAGAGAGCTGGGTGGTAAAATTGACAAGTCCTGGGGAAGAACTGAATTTGAGATGTGAAGGAGAGGTTTCTGGGTGGCCTTCTGGACGGATGGTAGACTGAAAAGAGTTGGTTTTAGGGAGAAAGATCATGAGTTTAGCTGTTGTATTAGTTTGCCAGAAAAAAATACCACAGACTGGGTGTCTTAAACAACAGAAACTTATTTTCCTATAGTTCTGGAGCCTGGAAGTCCTAGATCAAGGTGCTCGTAGGGTCAGTTTCCTCTGAGAGGCCTCTCTCTTTCGTTTGCAGATGGCTGCCTTCTTGCTGCCTGTCACACTGTCATCCTCTGCCCCTGCATCCCTGGTGCCTCCACTGTGTTGTGTCCCAGTCTACTTTTATAAGCACACCAGTCCTACAGGATTAGGGTGTACCCTGATAACATCATTGTAAGTTAATTGCCTTTCTCAAGGCTCTTTCTCCAAACACAATCACATTCACAAGTACTAGGGATTAGGACTTCAACATATGAATTTTGGGGGATATAATTCAGTCCATAATAGCTATGGACTTGTTGATTCTGAGGTGTCTCTGAGAGGTGGTTGTGGTGGAAGTATCCCTCCACAACTGTTTTAGATATCACTTCTGGGGCACCTGGCAGGCTCAGTCGGTAGAGCGTGCCCTCTTGATCTCAGTGTTGTGAGTTTGAGCCCCTTGTTGGGTGTGGAGATTACTTAAAAATAAAATCTTCAAAAAAAAAAAAAGATATCACTTCCCTGTTGGCTCTTTGGCATGACTCACTGCTGCTCATGTCGCAGGCTTACTTTGAGACGACGTTGGAAGCCATCTTGCATTTGTAGTTTGTATTACTGTAGATAGACTATGTGTGTTTTGAGTTTTGGTAGTTGTGTCTTTCAGGGATTGGTCCATTTTTTTTTTTTTTTAAGATTTTATTTATTTGACAGAGACAGACACAGCAAGAGAGGGAACACAAGCAAGGGGAGTGGAAGAGGGAAACAGGCTTCCTGTAGAGCAGGGAGCCCGATGCAGGGCTCCATCCCAGGACCCCAGGATCATGACCTGAGCCAAAGGCAGACACTTAATGACTGAGCCACGCAGATGCCCAGGGTTGGTCCATTTTATTTAAGCTTTTAAATTTGTGGCTACAGAATTGTTCATAATATTCCTTTATTTTCGTTTGGTGTCTGTGGGATCAGTAGTGATGGCCCTTTTGTCATTTCTGATATTGATCATTGGTGTCTTCTTGCGTATTGTCTTGGTTCGCCTGGCTAGAGGTTTATCAATTTAATGATCTTTTCGAAATGTCAGCTTTCAGTTTTGTTGATTTTTCTCTACTGTTTTCCTCTTTTCACTTCTCATCGATCTGTGTTCTCATTTTTAGTATTTCTTTTCTTCTAACTCGGGGTTAGAGGTGGGGGTGTTTCCTGTGCTACTGCACTTCTCAGCCTTTTCCTATTGCTTCCAGATTTTGAGTCACAGTTTGAAAGGCCTTCCCCATTCTGAGATTGTGAAGCAATTTGCCTGCATTTTCTTCTAGTTCTTGTACGGTTTCCGTTTTCTTATATAAAAATAGTTGAAGTTTATCTAGGTGTATGGCATGACATTTGTATCCAGCTCCAATTTTTTGCTGATGACTCTCCAATTGTCTTGCTACCATATTTTTTTAATTTTCTATAAACATATATTTCTATCCCCAGGGGTACAGGTCTGTGAGTCTCCAGGTTTACACACTTCACAGCACTCACCATAGCACATACCCTCCCCAATGTCCATAACCCCACCCCCCTTCTCCCAACCCCCCTCCCCCCAGCAACCCTCAGTTTGTTTTGTGAGATTAAGAGTCACTTATGGTTTGTCTCCCTCCCAATCCATTTGCGACGACGTGGATGGAACTAGAGGGTATCATGCTTAGCGAAATAAGTCAATTGGAGAAAGACAACTATCATATGATCTCCCTGATATGAGGAAGTGGAGATGCAACATGGGGAGTTAAGGGGGTAGGAGAAGAATAGATGAAACAAGATGGGATTAGGAGGGCTACCATATTTTTAGAAGCTCGTCTTTACCTCAGTGATTTGAGATGCCAGCTTTATATGCTAATTTCTGTGTATGGTTAGGTCGATTTCTGGGTCTTTTCTTCTGTTCTGTTAGTTGGGTCGGGTCTGTTCATGAGCCAGTAACGTGTTTTAATATTCCAGCTTTATAATATGATTTAATATATAGAATTGTTGGTCCCCTCTGACTTCTGTACAGTGTCCATGGACATTCTTGGTCTTTTTTCTTTTTTTTGAAGATTTTATTTATTTATTTGTCAGAGAAAAAGAGCACAGGCAAGGGAAGTGGCAGGCACAGGGAGAATCAGGCCCCCCGCTGAGCGGGGATCCCCCCCCCCCCCGCCCCAGGACCCTGGGATCATGACCTGAGTCTAAGGCAGATGCTTAACGACTGAGCCACCTAGGCGCCCCCTTGTTCTTTTTTGATATATACTTTTGAATCAGCTTTTAAAGTTCCAGAAGGCAAAATTACTAATATTTTTATTGAAATCATATTACCTTTATAAATGAATAGTTGCAGAGAGTTAGCAACTTTATGAGATTGAGTTTTCCGTTTGTTCAAGCTTCTTTTGAATACTTCACACGGTCTGGATATGTTGTTTTTTTTAATTACTGGAAATTTTATTTTTTTAAAAGATTTTTGTTTATTTGAGAGAGAGAGGAGAGAGAAAGAGCATGAGAGGGGTGAGGGGCAGAGAGAGACGTAGACTCACCACCAGGCAGGGAGCCCGATGCAGGACTAGATCTTGGGACTCCAGGATCCTGACCTGAGAGGAAGGCAGTTGCTTAACCAACTGAGCCATCCAGGTGCCCGGGTTTGACATATGGATATGTTGCAGAAAGGACCATTCTACCCCACCCCTCCCTATACTCTGCCCCTTTGCAAAGTGACTTCGTAGTTCCTTCCATCGAGAGATGGGAGTAATTTCCTGACCTGCGGGTTTTTAACCAGTAGAACGTGAGGGAAGTAACATCGTGCGTTCTAGACCTAAGCCTCAAGAAGGCCTTGCTGACTTCTGCTCTCATCCTTGGAACCCTGCCCAGCCACCATGTGACCAAGCTTGGGCCAGCCTACTGGAGAATGAGAGGCACGTGGCTAAGTTACCCCTGTATCCCCAGCCAAGAGAAGCAGCAGCTGGCCCCCAGAGGCAGAGCCCTCTTGCCCTCTCGCTACTGCTAGCCAACACACAGAAGGAGCCCAGCCGAGCTCAGCCCAGTGACCCACAGAATTGTGAGCTAAATGAGCTTAGTAGGTTCAAGTTACTTAGCCATGAAGTGGTTTGCAACAAGGCAAAACCATGCGGTACCTCTAATTCATTTTAAACTTTCTGACTGTTGTATCATTTTACTAATGTAAATGGGGACTTTTCTGTAGCGATTGAGCAACGATCTACCAGGCTTCTTTCCTTCTCCTCCTGGGCATACCCCCAACTTCTTTGCAGTTTTGGTCGGTCGTGTGACTTAAGTCCTAACCAGCAGAACATGGGAGAAAGTGAACAGTATGTTCTCTATCAGAAAATACAACCCCGGCTGTGATCCTCTGCCCTGTGTCCTTCTGAGTCCTGTGGCTGGATGCGAGTGTCCAGGGCACCTTGGAAACCGCTTAGAAGATGAGAAGAGCTCCTGTCCTCCTGGGTCCCTGATTAACCGCAGGGAACAGAGAGCCCCCCCGACCCTGGCCCCGCACTCCACATTCCTGGTCCCCAGCACTCCACTGATGATGCTTTGCATGAGTGGGAACTAACTTCAACTGTGTCAAACCAGGGAAATTAAATAATACAGGGTCATCCCTTCCCGTCCCTTTTTTTTTAAATGCTCTATTGAGATAGAAATCATGTTCCAAAAAATCCACTCTTTTAAAATGTACAGTTGCATGGTTTTTAATATACTCATAGAACTGGGTCATAGTCTCCACTCTTTAGTTTTAGAACATTTTCATCTCCTCAAAAAAAGAAACCCCGTATCCACTAGCAGTCACTGCTTACACCCCCTCCTCCAGCCCTGGCAAGCAGTCTTGACGGATTTGCCTATTCTGAACATTTCCTATCAATGAATTTGTGCAATGGTTGGTAATTTTTGGCAAGTTTCTTTCACTTACCATAATGTTTTCAGAGTTTCTGTTGTATGCTATGAGTACTTCATTCCTTTCTATAATATACTCAGTAACGTTCCATTGTAGAGTTATTACATTTTGTTTATCCATACATCAGTTGCCAGATATCCAGCAAAGATATCCAGATATCTTTGGCTCTTATCAACAATCCTGCTGTGAACATTCATGGATGTTATAGACTACATTGTGCCCCCTTCCTGTCCTCTGAGAAATCCTGTTGAAGCCCTCACCTCCAGTGTGGCTGTATTTGGTGATAGGGTCTGTAGGGAGGTAACTCAGGGAAATGAGGTGGTAAGGATGGGGCTCTAATCCAATAGGACTGGTGTTCTGGTAAGAGGAAGATCTCTTTCTCCTCCCCCAGTCTGCACAGAGGAAAGGCCATGTGAGGACATGGTAAGAACATGACCCTCTGCACATAGGAAGAACACTTTCACCAGAAACCAAAGTTGCCAGCATCTTGATTGTGGGCTTCTTGCCTCCAGAACTGTGACAAGATAAATGCCTGTTTAGACCACTCCATCTGTGGTAATTGTTAGGACAGCCGGAGCCGACTAATCTAGCGTATGAGTTTTTGTGTGGACGTGTGTTCTCATTTCCACTGGGTATATACCTAGGAGTGGAAGGAACAGACTTTTCCAAAGCAATAGTACCATTTTATATTCCCATGAGTGGTATAGGAGGATTGCAATTTCTCCCAAGTTTTTGCCCACATTGGTTTTTTACTATTCTTCCAACTACAGATTATAGCCGTGTTAGTGGGCATGAAATGGTGGTTCATGGTGGTGGTGATTTGCATCTTTCTAATGACCAATGATGTTGAATATCTTTGGCCATTTGTGTATCCTTTTTGGAGAAATGTCTTCTTGGATCCTTTGCCCATTTTTCAACTGCCTTAGTTGTCTTTTTATTTTTTTTATTTTTTTAAAAAGATTTTATTTATTTATTTGACAGACAGAGATCACAAGTAGGCAGAGAGGCAGGCAGAGGGAGAGAGGGGGAAGCAGACTCCCTGAGGAGCAGAGAGCCCGATACGGGGCTTGATTCCAGGACCCTGGGATCATGATCTGAGCCGAAGGCAGAGGCTTAACCCACTGAGCCACCCAGGCACCCCATTAGTTGTCTTTTTATTATTGAGTTCTGAAAGTTCTTTGGATAGTCTGGAGACAAGTCTCTTAACAGACAACATGATTTCAAAACTTTTTTCCCACTTCTGTGCGTTGTCTTTTCACTTTCTCGATGATCCTTTGAAACAAAAGTTTAAAATTTTAATTGTCTATTTAATCTATTTTTTTTCTTTGTTGCTTGTACTTTGGTGCAGTATTTGTTAGGTTTTGGTGTTGATTTTGTATTTATTTCACACACAAAAAATTGGAAATTTCCAAGGTGCCCTGGAACAATTTAAATACTATTAGAAATACTTGTTTTTTAAAGGTTTCAGAGCACTTTTCTGTGAAACCATTTGGGCCTGGAGCTTTGGCAGGTGTGGGGAGCTCCAGTCTTCCCTCCTAACAGAAATTGCCAATTTTAAGTTGTTAAATACGTGTGGACTGTTTAGTTGCAATTATCATGGTTTTGTAAAGGCAACAATTTTTTCGGATGGTTTTTATTGTCTCTGGAAAGTTTGCTGCTTTTTTTCACCTTTTCCCTAATAGTATCTTTTCAAAAATGTCAGTATTTTTTTTTAAATTTTTTTTTTTAAATTTATTTGACAGACAGATCACAAATAGGCAGAGAGGCAGGCAGAGAGAGAGAGGAGGAGGAGGCAGGCTCCCTGCTGAGCAGAGAGCCCGATGCGGGGCTCGATCCCAGGACCCTGGGATCATGACCCGAGCTGAAGGCAGAGGCTTTAACCACTGAGCCACCCAGGCGCCCCAAAAATGTCAGTATTATTTAGTATAATTTGTGTATAAAAAAAGGACATCCATTAAAATGTACACTCTAGTGCATTTTGATCGAGGCAGACCTATAGCTGGAAAAGTGCCACCAAAATTACGATATACAGACTATCTACATCGCTCCGAACTGATTCTTTGTGCCCCTTTTCATTCCATCCTTTCCTCCCCGCTGGACTTGGAAAACCACTGACCTCCTTTTTCACAGCAGGTGGATTTGTGCTTTCTGGCATGGGATACACATGGAGTCATATAATACGGACTCTTGTGGACCTGGCCTCCTTCACTCAGCATGGTCATTGGAGATTCATCTCTGTCAGTGTGTGTGTGTCAGTAGTTCACTTTTTTTAAAAAAGATTTTTATTTATTTATTTGTCAGAGAGAGAGCAGAAGCACGGAGAGCTATAGGCAGAACTGGCAGAGCAGGCAGAGGGAGAAGCAGGCTCCCCCAACCAAGGAGCCCAATGTGGGTCTTCATCTCAGGACGCCGGGATCGTGACCTGAGTGGAAAGCAGATGCTTAACCCACTGAGCCACGCAGGTGCCCCAGTAGTTCACTAATTATTACTATTATCATCATCATGTAGTACTCCACCACACACACACACACACACACACACACACACACACACACACATATACATACCACAATTTATTCATTCACCTGCTTGGGGACTCCAGATTTTTTTTTTTTTTTTTTTAAGATTTTATTTGACAGACTCAGTGAGAGAGGGAACACAAGCAGGGCGAGTGGGAGAGGGAAAAGCAGACTTCCCGCTGAGCAGAGAGCCCGGTACGGAGCTCAGTCCCAGGACTCTGGGATCACGACCTGAGCCAAAGGCAGAGACTTAACGACTGAGCCCCCCCAGGTGCCCCTGACTCCAGTTTTCTGTTGCCACAGATAAGGCTGCTGTGGAAACTTGTGTACAAACCTGCCTTGGAACTTTTACTTTCATTTCTCTTGGCTGGATAATTAGGAATAGAATCTCTGGGTCCCATGGTTATCTCATAGCATCTAGCTATGGATTCTGAGCTATTTTTTTGTTAAAGATTTTATTTATTTATTTGATTGAGAGAATGAGTGGGAGGAGAGGCAAGAGGGGAAACCGACTCCCAGTAAAGCAGGGACTCATGGAACTCGATCCCAGATAACCCCGGGATCATGAGCTGAGCTGAAGGCAGATGCTTAACTGACTGAGTCACTCAGGCTCCCTGTTGTTGTTGTTGTTGTTTTTATTGTTTTAAACTCATTCTTGAGGGGTGCCTGGGTGGCACAGTTGGTTAAGCGTCTGCCTTTGGCTCAGGTCATGATCTCAGAGTCCTGGGATCGAGCCCTGCATCAGGCTCCTTGCTCAGTGGGCTTCTGCTTCTCCCTATCCCTTTGTGCTCTCTCTCTCTCTCAAGTAAATAAACAAAATTTTTAAAAATAAAGATAAACGCATCATTGAAAGAGTTGGATTTTGTCAAATCAGTTATTTGCACGAGGGTCTTATGGGGGGACGAGGGTAGGGAGAGGGGTCCAGACAACTTTCCGGGCTTGCAATCCAAGGACTCCCTGGTGTGATGGCCAAGAACGCTTCACACAGATGGAGCACCTCTTTGTGGCACATCCTTTCTACCTCTCCAAACCCAGTGGTCTTAGGAGGGTTTTAATCCGTCCCTGCACCTCCTAGTTCCCTCCTGGCCACAGCTCCAAGTGGCGCCATGCCTGCCTTCCAGGGCGAGCCCCTCATGTTTAGAAGGCTTAGTTTTGCCGGTGTCTTCGGAGAATCACCACCCCTGAGCGATTCCCTAGGTCTCCTCTTTCCCTCCTGCCAGCATTGTCCAGCCTCGTTGAGTTTAGAGTGTTCCCACCGACGTTGGGGAAGGGGCATTTCTGTCCCCACCAGGTCCCTGCCCAAGGCCCTGCCCAGCACTCTGTCTTGTTCTTGTAGGACTCAGGGTGGAGTTCACGTTCACGAGGACGGGCTAACAGCGACCTCCCCAGTCCTGATGTGGGTCCAGGTAAGCACAGAGATCCCAGACCCTTTGTTGAGACCAGGTCCTCATTGGGAGAGGGAGTCGGCCCGGCTCCTTGGGCTAGACTCACCCGCAGCGGGTGTCGGTACTTCTGAACCGAGAGGGCCCAGAAAGGTCTAGCAGATCTGGTGCTAGAGCACTGGCAGGCCCGCCAGGAAGTAGCCATCTTGAGAATACCGCCTTTCCCAAACCTTTGCCAGACACTGCGGGAGGCCCTCTGGCCAACCCTCAAACCCTGAGATGCAGGCACAGCACTGGCGTTTTAGTGTCCAGGCTCAGATGGACCCCAGGCCAGGCCTGCCTGCTCAGGACCAACAGGAAAGGAAGTTGTCTGTTGCCGAACATGGGTGACCCATGGAGCCGTGGGACCAGGGGTATGACCAGTACAGAGCAGCATGATAGGGCTGGGTCTGCCTCGGGGGTCCCGAGACCCTGAAACTGGAAGCCAGCCAAAGGCAATGCTCAGTGTGTCTGCCAAAGCTGGTCCAGTCCTCTGGTACCTGGTTAAGCAGTTCCCTCTCCTGAATTCTTTCTGTTAAGATAACTAGTGTAATTTAAAAAAAAAAAAACAATTTTTTTTTTTAATCAACGTAACCCTGACTCATACTGGAGGATTAGGGTAAAAGACAGCTTTATACCAGCCAGGCCAGCTAGAATGGACTTCCTAAGGCTAAGCCAGACCAAGGGGTGCTGGGGTGACAGGCAAGAGTCCGTGTCTAGAGGTCCCAGTGATAATGTCAGGGACTTTGATAGATCGGGGCCTTAACTTGAGGTGATGAGCAATGGGTAGAGCCAGACTTGGGGGTGGGACCCCATGTTTTCTCATTGTGAGCAGCCCCCCAGGACTGGACCTGTTCTAGCTTTGCCAGTCCCTCGTCCAGCTATGCCCCATCCCCTGCTCAAGGTTAGGCCAGGAGGGCCCAGTTGGCACAACCTGGACTGCGAGAGGAGCCCTCCCAGCAGAGGGTAGGGATGGTGGAGTCAGGTCAAAACTCCAGTGGCTGTTCTACCCTCGAGGGAAACACAGCCTGGGGTGACTCTCTGATTCCTGCCCTGAAGTCTTAGGGAGCATTAGGCTGTGCTGGGCAACATCATCTATCCCACAGTTGGGGTCTTGCAAGAAAAAAGATTGCACCCAGATGGTGGGGGGTGGAATGGGGATTGGGACAGATGGCCATCTCTGCCTACCCTTCCCAGCCTGGTGCTCCTGGACACAGAGTCTAAGCCTGGTCCCCTCTCCCTCCAATGGGGGCTGTCTACTTTGCTCTTCACCTCTCTGTTGCAGTGAAATCACACCAGCAGTTCAGAGGTTGAAAATGCAAATAAAAGAAACCACAATTTTTTTTTAAGATTTTATTTATTTATTTGTCAGAGAGAGTGAGCACAGGCAGACAGGGTGGCAGGCAGAGGCAGAGGGAGAAGCAGGCTCCCTGCTGAGCAAGGAGCCCAATGTGGGACTTGATCCCAGGACACTGAGATCATGACCTAAACCGAAGGCAGCTGCTTAACCAACTGAGCCACCCAGGCGTCCCAAGAAACCACAATTTGATCCACTTTGTTTTTGCTCTTCCTGAGTGCTTAGGAGTCCCAGATTGGAGAAGCAGAATTTGAGGGATCCAAGGTTTCTGACTCCATCTATTTAAGCTATTTTTACTGTGGTTCATCTTTTTATTTGATTGGTGCCGACTTTAATGAATTATTCCAGGCCTTATCCATCCTAAGCGATCAGCTCTCTTGCGTCTCCGGGATAACGGCAAGCACTAGGGTTTCAGGGCTGAGGCTCATGGGTTTGCGTGACTCGGTGGTTCTGGACAGTCACGGTGGGCTCTGTTTGTCTTTCAGGCTCTGGATATCATCTTGGAGAGGATGAAGGCTTCAGGCTTCGACTTCTCTCAGGTCCTCGCCCTGTCTGGGGCGGGCCAGGTTTGTCTGTAGCAGCCCCCCTGCGGCGTGTGGGCAGCCGTTGGGAAGGGGTGCGGGGCTCCCTTGGAGGGAATGCTGCCCCTGAGAGTTGCTGCACACTTTCTATTGTTGGTAGAGCCCTGCCGCTCTGTTACCTCGGAGGATGCAGGGCGTGCCTTCTTGCGAAGGATCAGAGGTGGCTGGAAATGTGCAGCATTATCCAGAACAGGACCCCGGGCGAGGAAGAACCGGATAGAGGTCATCGATTGGGGTAGAGGAAGCATTTGGCGTGCATTGATGATGCCTGCCTGGGAGCACTGGCATTGCTTTTCCGTTTCCTGGAAGTAGAGGCAAAGTCAAACATTCGACTTCTAATGAGAGCAGTTTTAGTAGTAGCAATATTTGTAAAAATAATAACAAAGCACACCGACTGAGCACTTAGTGCAGGCCAGGTGCCGCGCTGAGCGTTTTACATAGACTTTTTGTCTTTTTAAGAGAGAGAGAGCATGAATGGGGGAGCAGTAGAGAGAGAGGGACAGAGAATTTCAAGCAGACTCGGTGCTCAGTGTGGAGCCCGATGTGGGGCTCACAACCCTGAGGTCATGACCTGAGCCAAAACCAAGAGTCCGCTGCTTAACTGAGGAGCCACCCAGGCGCCTCTTACTTAGATGATTTAACCTAATCGTTACAGTATTTTAGGAGGCGGTGTCAGGGTGTGGTTAGCACAGGAGCACTGGGTCTGCTGCCAGGCTCTGTCCCCAGGCTCACCATTTAAAAGCAGTGACCAGGGCATGTCATCGAACTTTCTGGGGCCTCCTGTCCTCCTCCGCCTGAGGTTCAATGTGAATGTGAAATACTTAGTGCATAAAAACTTCATGTAAGTTTTAGCTACTACCTTTATTATCATTGCCATTTACCTGAGGACACTGAGGCACAGAGGGGCGATGCCACTTAGTCAAGGTCACACAGCTACCTGGTGGAGGAGTCAGGACCCAAGCTGAGTCTTACCCTCTGAATCACTTTGCTCCGTGGTGGATTAGCCTGCTTTCACATCCTTGTGAGAGAGTGCTTACAGATTTTTCTGAGCCACCTCTTCTCCTCTACCCTCCAGCCTAACAGGAATTTAACGCTCCTGTCCTGTTCAACAGATTCCCCAGGAGATCTTGCCCATCTCTCTCATCTGAACCACAGGCTGGGATACCCTGTCCCTCCTGGGCATCCCCTGATCCCATGCCAGGTGTCCCCAAGAACACCTCCAGCTTACCCCAGGGCCACAACCCACTTGTCATCCTTGACTGTCCAAGGGGTCTCCGTGCCCTGTTGATTTGTTACATGACTCTTGAATCTCCCACTTCCTCTCCAATCCTGCCTCTCTTGCCCCAAGCCGAATATCTACAATTTTTCTCAGGGCCTCTGCTTGGGCCTCCCTGCCTCCCAGGTACCTTCTCCGTGACTCCTAAACCCTTTCATACACTCAGCCCTGGCCATCGCACTCCCTTGCTAACCCAGAGTTCCCCACACCTCGAGATAAGCCCCCGCCTCCAGGCCCTGGCGCTCAGGCTGCCACCTCCCCCTTCAAGCCCCCACCACCTCCTTCCTGCCCAAGACTCAGCCCACTGTGTCAGGTGCCACCGCTCCCTGCACCTGCCAGCCTCTCTCAGCCATGCCTGCTCTCTGCACGGAGCACCCATGCGCTCAGCTCCAGCTCCTTTCCTACTAAACAGGGCCCCTTCTGCCAGCTCGTTCAATGGCCCTCTTCTGTGTCCCCACTGCCCTGCCACTGCACATCCACAGGGTTTTGTAATTGTGTGTTTGTGTCTTCCTCCCTGACTCGCCGACCACATCGTAGAGAATAAGGACAGTACTATTCTCTTCGTCCATCCCATTGCCCGGCATGACCTAGGTGCTCCGTAAATGTTCGTTGAGTGAATGAACGGGTAACTGAATAAAGGAATGAATTTCAGGTACTATTGTGTGCAATATATTTTTACAATACAATTTTACGAGGATACCAAAATCCAAACCACTAATTCTTTCTTGGACCCTTCCTATAAGTCTTGAGGGGGACAGGGCAGAGTTTTCATTTTCTAGAGCTGAAAACCAGGTCTCAGAAAGGGTGAGTTCTGTAAGAAGTGGCAGGGCCAGGCTTGGAGCCAGTTCCTTGGGGTGTGGTCTGGCTTCTGGGAGGTGATCCCAGTGTGTGGCCATGTGAGCATGTGCTTGGGTTTTCCCTTGACAGCAACATGGAAGTGTATACTGGAAGGCTGGGGCCAGCCGCGTGCTGACAAGCCTGTCACCAAACCTCCTGTTACATAAGCAGCTGCAGGTAACCGTGGGAAGAAGGGCCCAAGCCCCTGCGGGCCCTGAAGTCTGGGGCTTTTGCGTACTGTCAAGGGTATGGGAACTTGGCTCAGGCAGTAGTGCGGTAAACAGGGTCTGCCCTGCCTCCTGCTGGGTACAGCTGGTGTCTGGATGGAGGGTCAGGTGTTGACAGCCCTCATCTCGGGTCCCTTCCTGCTAGGCATGGCTCTGGCTAGTTTCCCCCTCAGAGAGCTTGCCTTGGTGCATGATGCCTCTGGGTGGTGCTGGGAAGGCAGGCTCCATCTTCTCCATGGTTCCCCACTGCAAATGCCCCTGGGAAATGGCACTTTGCGGCAGCTCTAGCCCTCCCCTGCTTATCTCCAGTATCGCCAGTGGTGCTTAGGTGTCCTCCTTCTACCTTGAGCTTTCCCGGAAGAGACACCACTGGGCCAGGCCGAGGTTTGGGTGGGAAGGGCTTAACCACGGGTCTCCCAAGGTCACGTCCAGTGGGGAGGTGACCGTACCTGCTGTGGTGGGCTGTGGAACCAACAGTGCTGGGGCGGCTTCCAGAGTCAGCAGGCAGAGTTCAAGCCTGTGCCTTTGTTCCTCCTTTCCAGGCGTGTTTCTCCATCAGGGACAGCCCAGTATGGATGGACTCCAGCACCACAGTCCAGTGCCGCCGGCTGGAGGCCGCCGTGGGCGGGGCACAGGCTCTCAGCTGCCTCACTGGCTCCCGAGCCTATGAGGTAAGCAGTGCCCGCCTGGGGCTGGGGGCCAGTGTTGGTCCTAGGAAGAGGGTCCTGTTGCTGGTTCTGGCCCCTTGTCCCTGGGTGTCTGGGACACAGCTGGTGACCTGCCCCAGTGGGGATCTCATGAGGCCCTGTGGGTATCGCCCCTGCATAGCCAGGATTGGGCACTCTGGCCCCTGGGTCTGCCCAAGGCTGTCCTGCCTCCCTCTGCTGCCCACAAGCAAGGGCGGGTCTCCTGTTGCCCAGCAGGGGACCGAGGTGGGCTCATGGCGGTGCTCTCTGCAGGCACTTCCACTTCAACCTCTAACCTGGGGATAAAAATAGCACTCGTGCTTGGGACAGTTTTGAAGCCCAAGGGAGTCAATGTATGCAAGGCGTTTAGTACAGCTCCTGGACAAGTAAAAGAGGAATGAATAAATAAAAGGAATGCCTCTTTCCTGATGGCTTCAGCGCCTGTTCCTGGAGCTGGCTCTGACTGGCCCTGTTTGGCTCATGATTGGGAGTAGGGAACATAGCCTCATCTCCTGCACAGGTACCCTTGGTCAGCACAGTCCCTGTGGTGGGGGGTGGAATGGGGTGGAGCAAGGCTTTTTCAGTAAGGGTGTGCAGCAAACGTTTCTAGGTTTGAGGCCTTTGTAAAGCGTTCATGATACTAACTCATATCCAGAGCATGCTACGGCGACCTCACTTTGTGGAGATGATCACTGCACAAAGGATTTGGGTTTTGAAGAATTTGTGCTCTTTTTCCAGCGTTTTACAGGAAACCAGATTGCAAAGATTTACCAGCAGAATCCTGAGGCCTATGCACACACAGAGGTTGGTTAAATGTTCCTATTTGATTTAAGTCATAGTTGAATTTCTTTTATAATACTACCTTTAGCATAAATAGATCTCATGTTCATGGGCCAAAATCATTGATTAGCAGACATTAGACCCTCAGGCCAGGAGGTGTTGGCATTCTCTGCTGTGATTCCCGCCTGGAAGCACGGACCCTCCGGGACATTTGAAGTCCGTTACCCATTCCTCCAGCTCATGCCTGGGGTTTATGGCTTCTGAGGGACCAACTTCCACTCACACTTATTCTGAACCCCCAAGAGTGACTTTGTTGGTTCTGAATCCTGTGGCCACACATCCCACTTCCCTTGTGACTAGATATAAAGACCACAGAAACAGAGAAAGGAAATCAGGCTCCTTGGACACCTGGCAGAAGGGCCACTTCCTGAGCACGGCTTTTCCACAGGCCTTGTTGCTCTTCCTCTTTGCTGGACTTGATGGTTCTCTGGCTGGTCAGAAACTGCAGAATGAGGCTTTCCCCCAAGGACTCGGTTCTTGGTGTTCCGGATACATATGCCAACGGTCCTGTCTCCAGGATACTCACTGCCATTACTGGGCCGTCTCGCTCCACGTTTCTGCTTCCCTCCCCGATTTAAAACTCTCCTCAGGTCGTAGATATCAGAGTATTCAGTTGCTTATGGTATGAGGCCTATCTCACTGCCTCTCTCTCTTTCACAGAGAATTTCTTTGGTTAGTAGTTTTGCTGCTTCCCTGTTCCTTGGGTCTTACGCCCCTATCGACTACAGTGACGGTAAGCCTTCAGAGTCCTGGGGGGTGTGCCTGTTCGGTATGTGGGTGGACGTGTGCGCCTGTGGGCGGTGTGGGCATGACAGACTTTTAGCCCTGTCATCTTGCTATGAAGGGACTGTGTTAGTTATCTTTTGCTGTGTAATGAGTGACCACAATGCTTAACAGAGTAGGAACTTTTTTTTTTAATTTTTATTTATTTATTTGACAGAGAGATCACAATTAGGCAGAGAGGCAGGCAGAGAGAGAGGGGAAGCAGGTCCCTGCTGAGCAGAGAGCCCAATGCGGGGCTCGATCCCAGGACCCTGGGATCATGACCCGAGCTGAAGGCAGAGGCTTTAACCCACTGAGCCACCCAGGCGCCCCGAGTAGGAACTTTCTTTTTTAATATTTTATTTATTTGAGAGAGAGAGAGAGGGAGGGAGAGCACAAGCAGAGGGAGAAGCAGGCTCCCCATGGAGCAGGGAACCTGTTGCCAGATTTGATCCCGGGACCCTGAGATCATGACCTGAGCTGAAGGCAGACGCTTCACCAACCAAGCCACCCAGGCCCCTGACTGCAAGTGTTTATTATCTTACAGGATTTCTGCAGGTCCGTAGTCTGGGAGCCGGTGAGCTGGGTGGGCCTGCCTCAGGAGCTCTCATGAGGTGGTGGTCAAGGGGCAGCCAGGACCAGCCATCGAAAGGCTTGACTAGGGCTGGAGGTTCCATTTCCAGAGCCCCAAACTTCTTAGCCAGAGGCCTCACTTCCTCACCACATGGGCCTCCCATAGGACACCAGTGACAGTGGATGGATCCCCACCCCCACCCTCGCCACCCCTGCCTGAGCGAGGGATGAGACAAAAGGGTGGCCAAGCAGAAGCCACAGAATCTCTACACCTTAACCTTGGAAGTGATGTGCCATCCCTTCTGGCTCACCCTGCTGGTCTCACAGACCTACCCCAGGTGCGGGAAGGCAGGGACCTCACTCGGTGGGAACACCAGGGCTCTGGGTGGGCATAGGCTGCTTGGAGCCTGGCTCCCAAAAGGTGTTTTTTCTTGAAGTTGTGTTCACATCTGGGGAACTCAAGGGAGTGGTGAGTTTCTGGAGTCAGTGCCTTGCCAAAAATTAACGTAAGCGATGCCAGTGAGGAAGGAGAGCCGGGAGGAGGCTGCCGAGGGTACTTTTGCATGAGGCCATGCTAAAGGCCAAACAGCAGAAGGAAGCAGAGTGCAGAGCGAGAGCCCAGACCGATGCTCGTGACTTCAGAGGAGTCTCGGAAGGCTCAGAGCCCCCTGGAATCCAGCTGGAGTTGTCCGAGTGCTGTCATTGGCCACATACTATTCTAGCGTTCAGGGAGAGAAAGTAAGGTGTCAAAGAGGTGGTCCCCGAGCTTCACTCACAATTTGGGGAAGAAAGGGTTCCCACAGGTAGCTGCACACAAGTCAGGCCAGCAGAACCCTGAACCTGGAATAGCCCACGTCCACCCATCTTCGCCATCCCCACCCTGGGGCGGTTATATGCTGCTGGGAAAAGTCACAGTCCTGCTCCCGTTGGTGTTCCAAAGTTCGGGTTCTACAGTCTCGCTGGGCCCTTGGCTCCACTCTCCTCACTCCCCCGAGAAGTCACTCCCTGATTTACCAGGCGTCTCACTTCCTTGCTTGGGTCCCTGCCGATGGCTGTCTGCCTCCGCCTGGGCCCAGTGGAGGAGGAAGAGAAGAGCCCTTCTCTGCTCTGGCTTCTCTCCCCTTTGCCGTCCTCAGGAAAGTGTTGGGAGATGTAGATTGTTTTCAGACAGACTTCGGGAGCTGATCCCCGTGATTTCCTTGAAAAGTTAGAGGTGACTAGGGAAGCCTGAGGGCTGACCCACATCGGCATGGGGCCCTTGAGCCCCAGGGGACATGGAGAACAGTTCCTCATCAGTGTAGTGCTGGGTCTTAGGACCACAGATTCCTAGGCTGACATGAGGAATACTTGGAGGAGGTGGTGGGGCCGTGTGTTTCCACGGCCCCTGCTGACCTCTGGTTCTCCGGCTCTCTAGTTGCCTAATGACCCAGGCACACTGCACGCATTCCGTTCGGAAAGAGCTCCAGGAACGATTTTGTGGCAAGAACTTGATCGGCTTTCCGCCAGGTGGGCACGTGTTCACCACAGGTCCTTTGCAAAAATGTTTCTGTTTCTTGTTTCCTTCATTCCTTAGGTTCTGGAATGAATTTATTGCAGATCCAGGACAAAGTCTGGTCGCAGGTCTGCCTTCGTGCCTGTGCACCTCATTTAGAGGAGAAGCTTGGCTCACCTGTACCGTCGTGCTCTGTGGTGGTAGGTCCCCGTGCAGGTGACATGGCTCATTTCCTAGCGGGCAGCTACTGGGGCAAGCAATGCAGAATACGCACACACACACACACGCACACAGAGTCACCCTCATTCATTTCTTTACACACAGGCATACACACGCGGGATTTTCAGGCTAGGGTAAGGGATGTATTTGATGTACAGCAAAGCCAAATGTCTGGATCAGTGCCTTGCGTTTAGCAGGGACTCAAGTGCGCATACAGATGACTGCCTCGTGGCAGCGAGGTGTGGGGTAGGGCACCTGGGAAAATTCCACTAGAAATTTATTAGAACAGGAAGAAAAGTAGAAGGTATAAGTGGTGGGTGATTGCGCACTTTGGGAAAAAGTACACAGAATGCTGACATTCTAGGGCTAGGTACCACCTCTGAAGCTTAAAACGGGCAGTCTGGAGAAAACAGAAATATGAAAAAGCTGAGGGAGAACGCAGGCTGTGCGCCAGACTGCCCAGGCTGGATTCCTGCCTCGGCTGCTCACCAGTTCTGTGACTTTCATCTGTACCTCAGTTTCCCCATCATTTCCATTATTCCTGAAACAGTGGGAATAATGATACTCTCTGTGTCATGCGGACTTGTGCAGAATAAACGAGTTAATGCATTTAAAGCGCTTAAGGTGGGGTGCCTGCCTAGCTCAGTTAGAGCATGCATCTCTCGATCTCGGGGTTGTGAGTTTGAGCCCCACTCTGGGTGTAGAGATCACTCACAAATAAAATCTTTAAAAAATTAAAAAAGAGGGGTGCCTTGGTGGCCCAGTGGATTAAGCCTCTGTTATGGTCCTGGGATTGAGCTCCGCATCGGGATTTCTGCTCAGCAGGGAGTCTGCTTCCCCCTCCTTTTTCCTGCCTCTCTGCCTACTTGTGATCTCTCTCTCTGTCAAATAAATAAATAAAATCTTTTTAAAAATTTAAAAAAGAATAAAAACAGATAAAGTGTTTACGATAGTGTCTGGTCCCAAGGGTAATATTAAAAACATTTACGGCAGCATGCAAAAGAATGAAATTGGACCCCTGTCTTACACCGTACACAAAAATTAACTGAAAATGGATTAAAGACTTGAATGTAAGACCTGAAATCATAAAAACTCCTAGAAGAAAACAGGTGTTAGTGACAATTTTTTGGATTTGACACCAAAAGCAAAGGCGAGAAAAGCAAAAATTAAGTGGGACCTCATCAAACTTAAAAGCTTCTGCCCAGCAAGGGAAACCATCAATAAAACAAAAAGGCAACCTATGGAGTGGGAGAAAATATTTAAAAATCATATATGTGACAAGGAGTTAGTATCCAAAGTATATAAAGAACTCTGCTCCACAGCAAAAAGGCAAGATAGTGTAGTTTAGAACATTTAACCGTTAGCACGGAATCCCCATTCAGCACAGACACTGGTGTCCCCTAGTTAACTACGTTCGTGGCTTTTCTGTGGTGAGAATGGAGTAGAGGGAGACTGGGCCCTGCCTTCAGAGGCCCTTTGGTGGGAGCACACACCATACATTGAGAAGAGCGAGAATTCTCGGTGTTTCTGAGTGTCAGTGGGAAGGAAGCAGAAGGTCCCTGAAGCCCGCGGGTGCTGCCTGTTCCAAGTCCCAGCCACTCTTCTGAGATTGACTCTGATGTACGGAGCTGAGGGAGGAGTGTCCCCTGCCTTGGAAGGGGACAGTTCAGGACCAAGGCCTGCTGAAGCCCAGTGGAGAGAATAAGGAAGGGCCAGCAGGAACTGACCAAGCCTCTGGGATTGGTATTCCATGCATGGCATTTGGTTTTGTGTGAGACGGAGAGCAGTGTTCGGTCCGTGGCAGCGGGCTTTGTTTGCTTTATGCCAGGAACACATGCCTCCAGGAGGGGCCTGTGCACAGACCGGCAGCTTGAGGAATGGAAAAGGACTGACTCTGAAAGGGTCTTTTCATTTGTACATACGTACCCACGTGATGGGGGGAAACAAGCCGAATCCATGTTTCCCAGCATCCCTTCTTCTGCAGGCAGTGCCCATACAGCTTTCTCATTTCCGGCAGGAACGGGTTTGGGATATGTGGTATCCAACACTTCTCCAGCCCCAGCTTGCGGCCTCCTCACCCAGTTATTTTGCCAGCAGCCGTGGCTTTGTGCAGGTGTCACTCGCAGCCCCCTGCCCCAGCTGCATTCATTTCTCTCACCTTCTGCCCGGGGCTTCTGTGACTCCATGTTTGTGCCCTGCAAACCTGGAGGTCCAGAGAGTTAACACCCCAGGGGGACAGCACCCGCATCCTTCACACACAGTTCCTTGGACATTGCCCACAGTGAGGACCAGCTTGACAGTGTACCTTTGGGTGGGCTCTCCCACCTCCCCAATTCCCCTCTCGTTTCTTGGGATTGCTTCCCCCAAATAAGCCACCTGCACACGAACCCTGTGTCGGGCTCTGTTTCCTCAGGCAACCCGGGCCAACACAGTTCTCTCCTGGGAGATAGCTTATTCTCATGTAAATCCGATTTTTTTCCTGGAAGGAGCAAGATTTTCTATTCTTTTTTTTTAAATTTTTAATTAATTATTTTTATTAATGTATAATGTATTATTTTGTCTGTGAATCGTCAGGCTTACACATTTCACAGCACTCACCATATCACATACCTCCATACAATGGAGCAAAATTTTCTTTCCAGACACCAGGATGGCCCATCATTCGTTTAAACTTTTGGAGCTTCGGTAAAGTCAGGGAAAGGGGAAAAATGTTTTTCTTTTATAGCTATGCTCTCTAAAGACTATAGTCTGTCCAGAGGGGTCATTGCTGTCTGGTCCCCCAGCTACCCTGGGAGGAGACCTGGAGGCCATGTTTCCCCAGGGGTGCTCCCTCCCCACACTGCTGTTTTTGGTTTATTTTCCTTAGAAACTTGACCTGTGCACTTGTGTGTTTGGTTAATCAGATTGCTGGGCTGATAGAGCAAGGGTGTGGGGCGTTCTCTTCTTCCATGAATTTTCTTCCTGTGTGTCCTCTTGTTATTTATTTTAAAAATTTTTTAAAATTAATTTTATTTATTTATTTGAGAGATCATGAGCAGGGAGGAGGGGTAGAGGGAGAAGCAGACTTCCTACTGGGAGGGGGTGTGGGGGGAGTAGGTAGCCCAATGCGGGATTCCATTCCAGGACCACCCTAGCCGGAGGCAGACGCTTAACCTACTGAGCCACCCAAGCACCCTCCCCTTATTTATTTACCACTAATGCTATCTCAGAATTTGGAACTTACAAAATAAGTACACATTGGGGATTGGTTTGTTCTAGCTGCCTCTCAAAATCCAATGGTGTTCAAAGCAGGGTGACCTAATATTTGTGGTTCCAAGCCTGGGCTGGGCTCCTCTGGCTTCTCGGTGAACGGGAGGGACACCCCTGGTTTAGGACAGGGACTGATGTGCCTGCAGGCCTGGTGACCTGAGGCTTGGAGGGCTATGCGGAGTAGGTCAGATTTACCTCAGTAGGGCATGCTTGCTTTTCCTCCTCAGGGAGCCGTTTCCTCCTACTTTGTCCAGCGCTATGGATTTCCTCCAGGATGCAAAGTGGTGGCCTTCACTGGGGACAACCCTGGTGAGTACCTTGAAGGATTTCACTCTCCAAGTAGCCTGACTTGGTCCATGCTGGACATTTGAGAATGCCAGCCTCTGGAAACCCTTCTGTGGCAGGCCCCTTCCTCCCTGGCCGCCTGCCACACTGCTGGCCTGAACTCTGACTCCTTGTACTGCCCTACCTTGGCTCTGACTCTGTCCTCTGCCTCCCCACTCCAGTGTGAATGATCATCAGTTAAGGCAGGCGGTCACGCCCACCCTTCCCTAACTGCCTTTTCTGTTCCAAGCTAATCTCAGTTCTCCAGTCCTTCCTCTAGGACTTGGTCTATAGGTGTCAATTACTCTCCATCCAAACACCTTGTCCTTCCCCCAGCCGCTCCAGGAAGAGTCATCAGGTCTCTGAAGAAAGGGCAGGTGGCCGCACTGGGCTGTATGGTGGTGGCACCTCAGCCCTTTTTCTAGAGAGCCACCAAATTCAGGTTGCCAGGCAAATGCAAATACAGATACAAGGACACCCAGTGTGCCTTGAATTTCAGAGGAATTATGAATAATTAGTGTAATAAGTGCATCCCATGCAATATTTGAATTTCACATAAGAAATGATGTCTTAGTTTAAGTATGGCCCAAAGTATGTCTCTCTGAAATTCAAATTTAACTGAGCGTCCTCCATTTTTTCTGGCAACTCTACCCCAAATCAGCATCCTCAGCTCCTGCTCTTAGAAGGTCAATGTAAAGTACGTAGTAGAGGACCTGGGCTGCTGCATAGGTGGGACCAGGGTTTGCTGTCCTAGGGAGGCTCACTTCCTTCATAGAGCCTCTCCTGCTTCTCTTTGTGGTCAGGGAGTGTGGCTCCCTATTTGTTATGCTTTGCTCTCCTTTTAAACACATTTCTTTTCAGCTTTTTTTTCTGCCTTCAGCCCTTCTCCCGGTTTCAGCACCCACCAGCCTCCCTGTACTCTCCTCCCATTGGCTGTGTAGACAAGCAGGACAGGGGCATCCAAAATAAATAGAGAGAGACACATATGTCTGGGAGTTGTATGCCTCAAAATAGAGCGGATGGTCCTTGTTAAAATTCATTCTTAACAGCAAGAGTTACTTTATCAGTATTATTATTAGAGTCCCTATTTTCTATAGTGTTTCTGTATATTTTTGTGATGAGGAAAAAGCACCGAAGTCTCTACTGTTGTTATAGGCGTCACTAAGAATAATGCTCATGGCGTTCCTCGGTCTCCTTCCAGCCTGGAGCTGAGGGCATGGCGAGCTCGTCCCTGCCACACCAGTGTCCTGGGTGTGACCCCTCCTTCCTGGGACAGCCTTGGCTCTGGCATCTGGAGGGAACCCCAGGAGCCAGACAAGGGCCTTTCCCATCCCTGAGCCATTTCTGGAGATGGTCATGCGGGACCTGTTGGCCAAGCACAGAAACTAACAGAGCAGGTTTGGGAGAAGGGATCCCAGTGTTCCTGGTAGGAAGGTGGAGGGGAGGCGGAGGCTGGTGGATGGAAGCCGGATTTCCACAGTGGCAAGGCATGAAGCCCCAGGCTGTCCCTGGGGTTGAGAGGAGGCTCCAGGCTGCAGTGTGTGGGTTCTGGTGCTCCTGGCCCCCATTTCCATATCCCTAAGAGCTGGGAGGTCCAGCCTCCCTCAAAGAAGAACAGTTGGTGTAGGAACACCAACTTAGGAAAGTTCTCCACTTCTGCGGGCCACGTCTGTTTTCCTTTCAGAATGAAAATAACTTTGTTGAGTCTCATTAGGCAATGTATAATCTTGTACCCCCTCTATCAACTAGAAGAATGTCAGGGGGAAGAATGGGCTTTTATAACCACTGAAGTGAGCGCCTGGGTTCGTCTGAGCAGGAATGACAAAGAAGCAGCTTTCCAATCCTACCTCTTGCACCTTGGTTTCAGGCTGAAGGTTGGCAACGCCAGGCAGCTAGCTCTCAGTCAGTCCCTCCTGAAGTGTGACCTTGAGTGTGCAGCTGTTTTAAATGATGCATTAGTTGCTTCTTCGTTAAAACAATAGCAGTAATGAGCAAGCAGACTAACCAAGCTCATGCTCTTTGTCTTACTCACAAGGGATACCTCTTCACTGCAGGAAAAAAAAAAAAAATTAAACACTGACAAACCAAAGGAAGGATGTAAAAATCATCCATAACCTCTTAACCCAGAGATAACCACAGTTAAAATTTTGATGGCTGTCCTTCCACATTTCTTTCTGTGTTCGTAAATAAACCTATTTTGTTTTTGGGGGGCAGCATCATTTCAATGGTTGCCTGGGGCCCCATGGTCCCACATTTATCTCCCTAGTCCCCTGTGGTGGAGGTCCGGGGGCTTCTGTGCTCGGGCAGTGCAAACAGTGATGACGCGCACACCCTGTCCTGTCCCTCATCCCTACAGGCTAAGTTCTCCGAGATGGGGCTCCTGGATCCAAGGCTCTGACACACACGGCAGCGGTGGTGGAGGACACCTGTCCCTCCCACGCTTCTCCTTCACTTGCTCAGTCAGTCACATTTAGTGAGCAGCCCCTCCCCGCCCCGCCCCCGGCCCCGGTCCATGCTAGACCTTCTTTAGTTCCAGAGTGCATCAGTGCGCCCGGCAGGTGCGGACTGCTGTTCCGGGCCTCCTGTCTCGGGGACAAACATTCTGCCCCTTCACACTCATGCCTCATCTTTGTCTTTCCCTGCCCTGTGTCCGATGTCTTGACTCAGCCCCCTTGGTTCTCTGCACTCTTGGGAGCACCTGATGGTGGGGAGAAGAGGCTTCCCAGCTCAGATCAGAGGCCCTGGCTACAGGGACTGTACCCTTTCACACCGGGGACCTCCCCTTGGGCTCTTCCAAACCCTCAGCTCATCCTGTTCCTGCCTCTACCCTGGCATGTGGCTGGCTCCCACCTGGGGGTGACTGTGGTTTGCTTTGTGGCTCTGTGTGACCTCCCGCTAACCAGAGGTTCCCCTCCCATTCTCAGCTTCGCTGGCAGGCATGAAGCTGGAGGAAGGTGACATTGCGGTAAGGCGACTTCTCACACCTCTCACCCATAAGCAAAGCCCGCTCTCTCTGCCTTGGGGGACAAGGGCCCCAGAAGCATCTTTGCTGCCTGTTAGAGGGTCTGGCGGTCCCAAAAGGCAGCTGAGGGAGGGGATAGGAAGACCCAGGCCCCAGGACCTGCTTGTATCTCTTCTCTTAGAAGGTCATGGCCTTTGCCCGGTAGGCAGGTCCCCTTGTTGGCCAGTCTTGGTGGGTACAGTGGCAGAGGGGTCAGGCATTGGAACGGAGGACTGTGAGCTCTTCAGATGAATAAAGAAAACAGAACCTGTGCCCTTCTGGGTCTAATGGGAAAGTCATCTGGGAACCAGTTGTCACCCAAATAGTTAGATACAATTGTGGTTAAGTTCTAGAAAACGAGCCCACAGTTTCCATGAGAGCCTAAATCTGGTTGCTAATTGGTTCATCTGGTGTGGGAGGGTCAGCAGAGGTTTCTCTGAGGAAGTGGCGTTTACTGTGAGGTCTGTGGCATGAGGAGTGAAATGATGGGGCGTTGGGAGTGGTGGAGGGGGCAGAGGTGCCTCATCTCTGGCCATTTCTTCCCAGGTCAGCCTGGGCACCAGCGACACCCTATTTCTCTGGCTCCAGGAGCCCATGCCTGCCCTGGAAGGGCACATCTTCTGCAACCCGGTTGATGCCCAGCACTATATGGCGCTCCTGTGGTAGGCTTGGTGGGCAGTGGGCACGTCTGGCACTATCTGGAGCCCTCGAGCTCTTAGCAGGCTCTCGTGGCAGCTGAGACCCTGGGACTCACTGGGTTTTTCTGACAGCAGAGCTGGATGGGGAGGAACCCAGGACATGGAGTCCTCCCCAAATCCAGATTCGAATCCCATCCTCAACACCTATATCCTGTGTGGCCGGGGGCAGACCCCAGAGCGTGTCTGAGCCACAGTCTCGGCTCATGAAATGCGAAGAATGAAAGGTTTACCATTGTGTTGTTAGGACACGCGTAGCACATAGTAGACATTCAGTAAATAGTAGGAAGCACGCCCTGCCCCTGATGGTTGTCATGGAGGAGGTGTACTCTGCACCCTGATCACAGGCCTTTGGAAACCCACCAGAGGCACCCAGGAAAGATTCTGAACCTCTAAGCTCCAGGAACCATTGGAGAATATGTAGGTCTAGTGAATTTAGCTGGCTCTGTTTCATTGTCCAGGTGGTATGACGTGTAGAAGCCACAGCTCCCCGTATTTCCCTCTGTAAACAGAGCCCAAGACAGGCCTTCCCCAGTGATTCCCAGGGACCTTAGCTGGGTGTGATACCTGAGGGAGAACCTCAGATCTCTGCTGTCCATGGCCTGGGGGTTGTGGTCCAGCCCGACCTGCAGCCCTTCGACCTGGGACTCTTCCCCAAAACACATGGGTCCAGCCAGCAAGCACTGGGTGCCCCCCCCTTCAGGGTTCTCTGCACTTCTGCAGCTTTAAAAACGGCTCCCTCATGAGAGAGAAGATCCGCGATGAGTCCGCTTCCTGTTCCTGGAGTGATTTCTCTGAGGCGCTGCGGTCCACGGAGATGGGCAACGGCGGGAACCTGGGTAGGCTGTTTGGTGATGCCCCGGCCTGTGAAGGGCAGCAGCTGCTGGCAGGAGGGCCCCAGGGGAAGGGGGAGAGAGGGCCATGGAGCAAGCCAGGGGAGCCCCAGCTGTCGGTCCTTCTGCTCCGTGGGCCTTCCAAGCTAGCGTGAGACCCAATGATCTGAGTGAGTAGGGCCCTTCTCCGTGCTTTGAGTGGAGGGCTCTCCCCATCAGAGCCCCTGGTGACTGCCTCAGGGATGGCAGCCACGGCTCTTGCTCCACTCTCGTGTGCGCCCATCCGTAGCTTTCTGCCCCAGCCGCAGGGTTCTGTTCGGAAGAGGGCCCAACCTTGGGCCAGGCCTCCTGAGCAGGGAGGGGACACGCCGCCCTCGGCCAAACCTGAGCTGGTGTTTTCGGGGCGCTGGGGCAGCTGCCTCTGGTCGGGGCTGTTGGGTGAGAGTTGGCAGAACTGTCTCTAAGAAGATCTAGTCCCAGCCCTTCCAGTTCCTGTCTTTCCTGCTGGAGAGCAAGATGGGGAGCATTCCCATCTCTTCTGGGGGCCAGAGATGTGGGGTCCTAAGTCCTGTTCCGTCCTAAGTCTTTGAGAAGCTTATATTTTGCTTTTGATTACTGACAGTGAATCTCTTCCTGGTCTGGTTTCAGGTTTTTATTTTGATGTAATGGAGATCACCCCTGAAATTACTGGGCGCCACCGGTTTAGTGCAGAAAACCGCCAGGTATGTGTGGTATGGGAGAGAAATTGGCTCCAGTTCTGAGTGTTGAATTCAACAATTGCCTCCCAGGTTCTGCTACTTGAGAGACTTCCTGTACTCCGCTATTGCTTGAGCAAACATTTGGATGGGCCAGAGTGCATTTCCGTCCTGGGGAACCCACAGGATCTAAGACGCTGTTGTCTCTCACAAAGAGGAGTACAAACACCTGGGGGCTTTCCTCTGAGCTAACACGTGTCCCCGCTGACCGCCGCGGAGAGCCATAGAGTCTGTTCCCTCAGCAGGCTTAACCCTGCACCCCCAAGGACTCACACTTACTCCAGATCAGGAATTTCTTCCTGATCAAAAGCCTCTGGGACAGGACGCATGAACATTTACTGAGCGCTGTTTCCCTCCAAGCACACCGTGCTGGTGGCTTCCCGCATCCTCCATTGACTGTTCAGAGCATCTTGAGGTCCAGAGATGCCGAATCATGTGCCCAAGTCACCAGGACCTAGGAGGTGGAGGGAGGGGGCCTCCAGACCCGATCCTCCCTGGCCCTGAGGCGCTGTGTCCTTTCCCCTCCACCGAGCTGCCTTTCCTGCGTGGGACTGAGCAATTCCCTCTGTCTAGTGACTGTTACAGTTAGAGTTGGCATCAGCTTTGTGGCTGATGAAGTCACTGTATGTTGGGTTGTAAGTGGAAAGCTTTATACAAACTGTAACGGGGAAGGGCTCGGCTCAGTCTTCTGAGGAAGGGTCTCTTTGGTTTTTGTTGTTCCAACAGAGAAGACGTGCCTTTTCCCTTTTGCATAAACCCATCGAGGTCTGTCAGGGAGAAGGTAGGGTCTGTCACTGGTCTCAGGGACTAAGGCCTGGGCGAAGCCGGGGTTGACGCCTAGCAGCAGTAGCCTGAGTGACACTCCACAGCTGTGGGTTCTCAGCATAAGCTCCGGGTTCTCACTTAGGACCAAACACCAAGACCCGGCCCTGTTGTCTCATTTGATCTTTAGAACCACCGTGAAACACAGGTACAATTATGACCTTGGTTTTGTTAAGAAAGAAAATGAGAATCCCAGCGAGATTTATGTAACTTATTTGAGGTGGCAGAGCTGAACCCTTGGTGGCCTGAGACCAAGCTCCCCAATGCTCCGGCTCCCTGAAGTGAGCACACCTGAGGCTGGGGTCACGTATGTGTGGGGGACATGCTTGTGTGCACACATATGGCAGGTGCTTAGTGGGTCAAGAGCTCCAGCGGTGTGTGAGCTGCCCAGGAGGCCCGAGTCCTGAGTTCCGAATCCGGGCCACCTATGCACACGCACGCACAGACGCGCGCACAAGCAGTGTAGGGACAGCAAAGGTTTTCACAGTGCCTACTTTCTCTTGGGGACAGGTCTCAGCATTCCCTGGGGCTGTGGAGATCCGGGCACTGATCGAAGGGCAGTTCATGGCCAAGAGGATCCATGCTGAGGGCTTGGGTTATCGAGTCAGTAAGTGAGCAGCTGGCGGGCTGTGTTCTGGGATGGGAACCATCACACCCTGAGGTGCTTGTGACCCTTCCTGGCCTTTAGGCCAGGCCTCGAACGGCACTGTCTGTCGAGGCTTCACTTCAGAGGCAGGGGGGAGAGGGAGCCCAGCCCCAGGTGGCTAAGGAGAAGGTGAGTCAGTGGGCAGGGATATGCAGGCAGACAGAGACGAGGGGGCACTTGTTCCTGCTTCTCTGCTCTGTCCCCAGTAGCCTGACCTCCTGGCAAGTAGCTGTAGCACTTAGAGACCTTTCTGTAGCCCAGGCCCGTGACAACCTGATATCCCAAGCCCCGGACCCTGAGGACATGGGCAATGCCAGTGGGAGAGCTCTAGGCTGGGGCCACCTGCCTCTGGGGCACAGCCTAAGCACTTCAATTTGGACAGAGAAGAGTGGGGATACAGAACCTCTGTCCCCACTGAGAGATCTGGAATGGAAAGGCAGGGCAGGATGAGTTGGGACAGGCACCCACGGGAAGAAAGAGATTTCTAAGAGCTTGAGCTATGGAACAGGCAGCCTCAGGGGGGCAGTGAGTTCTCCTTAATGCTGGCCCTGGAATGGTCTGGGGCACAGGCTTCTGCCCTAAGGGTGGAGTCCTCATGATACTTTTGTGGACAACCTGATCTCAGTGTAGTATGTTTTCTGCCTTTGAGCCAACCAAGTGCAAGCGTACTCTAGAAGTCAGCCTTAGGTAAGCCTTTCCGGGAAGCCGCACACGCACACCCCCAGCAGTCTCACCTGTCTGTGAAGGCGTAACGGAGATGTGTACCCATGGGCTCTAGAGACGTACAGGAGAGCAGTCATCGTGGCTGGTGCTCACCGGCCCCACGCTGCAGCCCGGAGCCTGTGGGTGGTAGGCAGGACAGGTGCATTGTGGGCTATTCATGCAATGTGATGCGACACAGAAATGAAAATAAACCGGCCTCCACCGTGGGCGACAAAATGGATAAATCTCGCACATGTCACTCGGCGCGAAAGAAGCCAGGCACAACAGTACGCGTGGTGGGATCCCTTGTCCGTCAGGTTCAAAACCGGATGAAACGATTTGCTGTCACTGGAAGCCAGGGCAGCGAGCTGCTACCTTTCAGAGGTAGAGGGCCTCTGCAGTGCTGTTGGTGCTCTCTAAGTTATACGCGAGCCTGGAGTTTGTGAGAATTTGTCAAGCGGTCAGCTTATGAGGCGTTCTGCATGTTTTTCGGGGTATATGAGTTCACCACAAATTTGAAAGTAAATAAAATGAGCATGATAAACATTTCCATTTCTCTTCATTCCATCACTCAAAGTCTAAAAAGAAATTCCCCGGGGCACCTGGGTGGCTCAGTCAGTTAAGCATCTGCCCCTGGCTCAGGTCATGATCCCCAGGGTCCTAGGGTCGAGCCCCATTTTGGGCTCCCTGCTTAGCGGGGAGTCTACTTCTCCCTCTGTCTCTCTCCCCATCTCCCTCCACGTGCTCTCTCTCCCACACCCTCTCTCTGTGTCTCTCAAATAAATAAATAAAATATTAAAAAAAAAAAAAAAAAGAAAGAAAGACATTCTCCAAAGATTTCAGAATCTCCTCAAAAGTGAGACCGGTGAGCAGGTCAGGGATGGGGCTGAGGTTGGCGCCCAGTGCCTGGCATGAAGCGTTCTCTGGCCAGCAGAAGGTGGCACTTCGTCGGGGCCTGGCCCCAAACAGTGTGCAGGAAGAGGCAGTGAGAGCAGAGAAGTCCTCCTGGGTACTGGAGAGGGGATGGGATTATGCCACCGTTCCCAGCCTTTAAAGCATTTTTGTGCAAAGCCACATAAAGTTCTTTATCCTCTTAGCAAGCTTAAAGGCAGTATCAAACCTGTCTTGCCAGCTCTGCTGGGTTCCTCTCCAGTAAGATTACGTAAATGAACATGCCTGGAACCAAGCAGGGCTACACGAACTTGAGGCATCATGCTCCCAGCTGCTGTGTGGACGAGCCGTGTTCTTAGAGGACTTGCTTCTATAACTCGACATTATGTTCATGAATTCCTCTGTGTGAATACCTCGCTCATTGTCAGCTCTCCCGGCGGTGTGGTGATCCATCACGGGCTTGTACCGGGATCGATTGATCCATTGTTCTCTGATGGACGTTTGCGCTTCCCAGCTCAGTGTCATGAACTGTGCCGTGAACGGTGCATGCCCTTGGCTGATTTTTCTTTACTTCATCCCTCCTGTGTGACAGGTATCAGCAAACTGACCACCTGAGTGTATGGATTTTTTTTCTAGAACTTGTCGTGTTTGGCTAGCGTAATGTTTACTTTGCTAATCAGATACCTTTGGGCTGGGCCTGCTCACTCGGGTGCCAGTGTGGCACAGGTGCGGCCGTTCCCTAGCCCAGTCCACCTCAGTTACTCCCTTCTCCTGGCCCCGAAGACAGTCCTGTTGTTGGCACCTGAGCCTACAGCTCCTGCTTCTTTTTTTTTAAATTAGATTTTATTTATTTATTTATTTGAGAGAGAGAGACAGCACGAGCAGGTGGGAGGAGCAAAGAGAGAAGCAGGCTCCTCGATGAGCAAGGAGCCCATGTTGGGACTCCATCCCAGGACCCTGGGGTCATGACCTGAGCCGAAGGCAGATGTTTCGCCAACTGAGCCACACAGGTGCCCTCTTGTTTTTTTTCTAGTAATGACTTTTAAAATTTCAACATAGATACCAACACTTAACTGCTTTTGATCACTGTTTGAAATTTATATTCTCTTTAGTAATTATATCCCCCACTAAAAGACATTATATTATGTTCCCTCTTTTCTCTTTTTTCTTTCTTATTTAAATATTTTATTTATTTATGTGAGAGAGAGAGAGAGAGCGAGCACAAGTAGGGGGAGGGTTAGACGGAGAGGGAGAAGCGACTCCCCACTGAGCAAGGAGCCCAATGAGGGGCTCAGTCCCAGGACCTTGGGATCATGACCTGAAGGCAAGGCTTAACCTCCTGAGCCACCCAGGCGCCCCCTCTTCTCTCTTTTCTTTACCTCCCATTTTCCAGTTCCAGAATGCTACTGTTCAGTGTGCATTATGCATCAATAATTATTTAAATTATACACTTGGTGGCTTTCCTTGATTACCACTATTTATTATATCACACATCTAAGTGGTTTTGTATCTTTCATCTTTGCTTCAGGACATCCTTGACTAATTCTTTCATGTAGAGGTAGAGGTATGGGGGATGGTCTATATGAAAATAGGTTAATTTTGCCTTGACACTTAAATGCTACTTTTATAATATGTGGAATTCTGAATTCAAACATCATATTATTTTACAACTTTGAAAATAACGTTCTGTTGTCTTCTGACTTATAGTGTTGCCAGTGAGAAGCCCATCTGAATGATATTGTTTCCTCTACAGAATCTTCTAGAATCTTTCTTAGGATTTTGAAATTTCTCAACTAAAGTCTAGATATCAGGCCTTATGCCTTCATTGTGCTGAGCACCCACTGGCCCCTTTTGCCTGACTATATCTGACTTCTTCTAGCTTGGGAAAATTTATTATATCATTTCTCCGATGATTTCTTTCCTTCATTTCCCCCATTCTTTTTACTAAGATTTCTATTAGACCGGTGGTTTCCGACTGAGGTGGTTTTGCACCCCAGAGGATATTTGACAATATCTGGAGACATTCTGGTGTCACAAACGGGGAGCGCTCCTGGCATCCTACCAGCCTGGATGCCGCTGCACGTTCTGCAGTGTGTGCGACAGCCTCCCCTTCCCCCCTCCCCTGTGCAGCCAATGATTATCCAGCCCAAATGTCAGCTGTGCCCAGCTTGAGAAACCTTGTCTAATACAGGCCAGGTGTGGACTCTCTGGCCCTAACTGCGTGTTGCTTTATTTCATCATAGATCTTGTCATTATTGGGGGCCCCAGGCTCAGTCGGAAGACAATGCGACTCGTCATCTTGAGGTCGTGAGTTCGAGCCCCACGTTGGCTTTAGAGATGACGTAAATAAGTAAATAAAATTATTAAAAAATGAACTTGTCACTATCATACTCTGCTTTTAAATTTATCTCTTTGTGGACTGTCCTTCCTCAACTAGGAAATAGGCTCTTTGAGAAGGAGAATCTCATCCATCTTGTGGAATCATCTATTCCCACTTCTTAAACCACTGCCAGGTGGTAACTGGGCTCCCCCTAAGTATTTGTAGACTGAACAGCTCTAAAGGATAAATGAATTCTGTGTCTTCTGACTTCATTCTGTCACTTTCCTTGTCGTTTTAAATCATAGGGAATTTCCTGGATTGCACCTTTCAGTTTATTGTATTAGATATGGCCGTATTTATTCTACTGTTTACTTTTTCCACCTAAATATGTTTGTAATCATGTATCATTTTTTATTTTTATTTTTAAAAGATATCATTTATCTATTTGAGAGAGAGAGAGCGAACACAAGCAGGAGGGAGGCCAGAGGCAGAGGGAGAAGCAGACTCTCTGCTGAGCAAGGAGCCTGATGTGGGACTCGATCCCACGACCCTGGGATCATGAGCCAAAGGCAGATGCTTAACCGACTTAACCACCCAGGCGCCCCTATATATCATTTTTTAATTTTTAGAACTCTGTCTTGTGTCCCAATTCTTCTTCATAGTGGTTTATTCTTTTTAATGGATTCTATACCTGTTCAAGTACACGAGATGATAAAATATTGGAATTTTTTCAAATTTGCCTTTTGTTGCCTGGGTTCTTTTCCTTCTGAGGTGGTCTGTTCACAGTGATCCTTCTCTTTCACCCCATTGGTTTTTCTCAACCACCTTGACTGTGGGTTGGTAGTACTGAATGAGTAACTGAGTCTCAGTGTAGACAGCAAGCCTAGGTTGCTGTCTACAGGTCTAAGGCCCCTCCTCCCAGTGTCCCACCCCACCTGCCCTCTCCAAGCTGTAGAAGTAGATGATGTGACAACAGGCAGATTTAAGTTGAAACTTGTGAGCATTGGATAAGCTTTAAAGCTGGAGTCCTCCCTACAAAGGCTCTCCACATGCTAAAATCAGCAGCATTTCATTCTGATTGGAAGATGAATGCAGCTTATTTCTCTGATGGGTGATTGCCTGTCTCTTTCCATGTCCGCCCCCTTAGCTCAGTATTACTTCAAGTTCTGATTCCCCTCAAGATCTCCAGGCCCCCTCCCCAGGCAGCAACTCATTTTGGCTGGAGGGCAGTTCTTTTTTTTTTTTTTTTTTAAGATTTTATTTATTTATTTGACAGAGATCACAAGTAGGCAGAGAGGCAGGCAGAGAGAAAGAGAGGAGGAAACAGGCTCACTGCTGAGCAGAGAGCCCCATGTGGGGCTCGATCCCAGGACTCTGAGATCATGACCTGAGCCAAAGGCAGTGGCTTAACCCACTGAGCCACAAAGGCACCCCGGAGGGCAGTTTTTTATCTGGGGGTCAGATGCTGCTCCTGATCAGTGGAAGTGGGTAGGGACAGAGGCTGAGAGTCCTGAGTTTCTGAAATCACTGGTCTACTGTCAGTGCGTGAGGGCTCCCGAGTCCCCACCAACACTTAGCATTAAGCACCTTTGAATCCTTTGCTAATCTGAGGGATGTAAACTAGTATCTCAGTGTTACTTTCATTTGCATTTTTTAATTAATAATGATTTTGAACAGCTTTTATAACTTTGGGTTTTTTCCTCCATGAATTGGCTGTTTGTATCTTTTACCATTTCCCCCATATTGGATTTCCCATCTTTTTCTTAACCATTTGCAGGAGTTTGTCATATACTTTGAATAGTACTAGATCCTTGTCAGCTTTCTGTGTCACAAGCATCTTCTGTCATTTGTCTGTTATTCTTATTTATAGTGTTGGCAACTGAACAGAATTTTGATTAAATTAAATCTGCCAATATTTCTTTTTAAAATTTATGCTTTTGAGATACTGTTGAAGAGGTTTTTCCCCTCTTCCAGTGCCACAGAAATTTTTTTTACATTTTGTTCTGTTCGTGTAACTTCCACATTTAGAACTTCTGGAGTTCACCTTTGTGAATGGTGTAAATCAGGATCCGGTTTAATTTTTTTCCACATAATGACCCCGTTCCCTTTTCCTTCACTACTTGTAGTGCCCTCTTATTCATTTATCAAGTATATATATATATATTTATTCATCTGTTCTTGGGACAAACCATCATTACGGCTTTGTAGTATGTACTAGTTGGCCGGGTCTGCATGACAAAGTACCACAGACTGTATGGATCAAACAACAGATATTTATTTTCTCACAGTCCTGGAGGCTAAAAGTCTGAGATCAAGGTATCAGCAGGGTTGGTTTTTCCCACGGTCTCTCTCCCTGACCTGTAGATGCCTGTGTCTTCACATGGTTTTCCCACTGTGTGTCCTAATAGACTCTTCTTATAAGGGCAGTAGCCATATTGGATTAGAGCTCACCCTAATGGCCTCATTTCAATTAACTACCTTTTAAAACATGTATCTGTCTTTATCTCCAAATACAGTCACATTTGAGGTACTAGGAGTTAGAACTCCAACATACAAATTTTGAGGGGACATAGTTCAGCCCCAAACGTCTTAATATCTATCTAATATAGCAATTCATCTCTCACTTTTCTTTTTTCATTGTTGTCTTAGCCATTTATGGGTCTTTATTTTTCCATAAATATACTAAATTGATTCAGTTCTTTTATAAAAGAAATCCAGTTGGAATATTTGTTTAGGTTGCCTTGAATTTATAAATTCATTTGAAAAAGTTGACACTTTTATAATGTTAGTTCAAATCCATCCAAGACCATGGAACATCTTTTAATTTACTTAGATATTCCTTTTTGTACTTTAATTAAGTTTCCAATTTTTTTCCACATAGATACTTCTGAATTCTTTGCTAAGGTATTTCCTGGCTACATTGTATTTCTGGTTGCCATTGTGAATGGCAGCTATCACATTTGGTGATTGATTGTTGCTAGAAATGCCATTGTTTGTTTTAAGTTGGTTTTTGTATCTGGAAACCTTATTAAACTTTAATTAGTTTGCTTATTTTTAATTTTTCTAAGTAGGTAGTTTGTTATCTGTAAAATAATGGTAGTTTTATTTATTTTCTTTAAATCCTGATACATTTATTTATTTTTCTTGCCTTATAGGCATGGCTAGTATAACTAGTACTATGTGACAGAGTAATGGATGATATTAAGTCTTTGTTTTGTTCCTACTATTTATTATCTATTGCTATGTAACAAATTTCTTCAAGACCTAGCAGCTTAAAATAACAACGAACATGTATTATCTTACATGGTTTCTGTGGGTCAGTAATTTTGGATTAACATAACTCAGTCATTCTGGCTGAGGTCTCTTCTGAGGTTGAGGTCAGTATGTCATCTGGGGCTGCAGTCATCTGAAGACTTGACTCAGGCTGCAGGATCTGCTTCCCAGGTGGCCAGCTCACACAGCTGTTGTCAGGAGTCCCCAGAGTGAGGGATCCAGGAGAGTCATCTACAGTAGAACAGGATAGAATCCTCAATGTCCTTTATGACCTACTCTTGTAACTCACACTTCACCATTTACACAATATCCCACTGGTCACAGGAGTTGGCCCTATCAACTGTGAGAGGGAACAACATGAACCTAAACATATCTGGAGGCAGGGGTCATTTGGAGGCCATTTTTTTGAGGTCTGAGAGGCACACCATTCTTAAAGAAAATAATTCTTGGGCTCGGGGGTGGCTCAGTGGGTTAAGCCTCTGCCTTCGGCTCAGGTCATGATCTCAGGATCCTGGGATCAAGTCCCGAGTCGGGCTCTCTGCTCGGCCTCCACTCTCTTTCTCTGCCTGCCTCTCTGCCTACTTGTGATCTTTCTCTGTCAAATAAATAAATAAAATATTTTAAAAAATAATAATTCTTAATGTTTCTATGAAGAATGACGTTTGTTATAAATTTTAGATAGATGGCCTTTATTAATTTAAGTAAGTTCCCTTCTATTCCTGGTTTGTTGACAGATTCTTTTTTAAGTGACTAAAAAAACATTGAAGACAGTAAGAGGTTAGTGGGGCAGCAGCCTCACACACAAATTACCTGTGACAAACCTGCATGGACAGAGCCAGCTTTGGATCTCTTCTTGAGTCCTGTGTGATAAGCAAGAGGCATTGGCTCAGTATAAGCCCTCTGTGGCTGAAGAACTCTGCAAAAGCCTTTTTTGTTTTGGGGAGATTGTTAGAGCCATCAATGTTTTCTTCTTCCTTGCAGTGCCCAAGACAAAGATTCTGGCCACCGGAGGGGCATCTCACAACAGAGACATCTTACAGGTATGTGATGATAGCAGGCCAAGCAGTAGGGCCTCTTCCATGTCTGTTACTTCTAAGAGCCAGACGCTGTCCTTATTGGACTGCCTCTGTTCCCACTGCTACAGATGTCTGACCACCAGGCTATCACATCATGGGGCTGTCAGTGTCTTACTGGGACACTGAGCAGTTCTGGATGTAGCCTGAGGCTGTGTCAACTATTGACTTATAATATACCTGTCTTAGATAAAAATTCTCTAAAAGAAGAGCCCAAGTTGGGAATTCTTTTATAAGTGGATTGTTGAGAAAGTGCTCCCAGGAGACAGTGAGGGGGGCAGGTAGGGCCAGGGGAAATGCTAAGGCCCCCAGGCCACCCTGACTCTATTATTATTAGGGTGGCATGGCCGAGTATACTTCCTGTAAGGCAGTAGAGGTGGAATGGAAGGCATCAGAAGACACATGAGGAAAGAGAGCATAGAAAATGTGTGCCAAATGTCTGTGTTCCCTCCGAGGAATGGCTTACCCCAGTAAGAACCTCCCTCCCTTTCAGGTGCTTGCAGATGTGTTTGGTGCCCCAGTGTATGTCACAGACACTGCCAACTCGGCCTGTGTGGGCTCTGCATACCGAGCTTTCCATGGTAGGTCGAGGGATGGAGAGCGGAGGCTTCTGGAAGAGTTAGGGCACTGGCTGGGCTAAGGGGGATAGAAAAGGGGAGATTGGAATGTTCCCAATCTTTAGGAACATTGGAGTCTTGGGCTTCAGTTTCATTTTTCTCCCACCTAGCAGGCAAGAACCAACTTCAAATCTTCTGTTCTTTTATTCTGTGTTTAAAGTGGGGGAAAAAAAGTAGGTTCCTAACTGAATGAGGCTTGGTCACACTCAGGCTCAACACAGGGACATTGGGAAAGGACACGGACATGCTTGAGGGTACATGGGGGTGGGTCTGGACAACTGGTGGGCAGGAGAGGTGGATGAAGTCCGTGGCCATCATTTCAGCAAATGCAAGAAGTGGAGACAAAGCTGAAGGCTTCAGAGCCAAACAGTCCAGCACCCTGGACAGCTCCACGAGGGCCCATAGCTCTGATGCAGGCCTTGCTGAAACTCCAATCTCCCCCTTCCAGGCAGGTTCTCCTGGGAGCTGCCCCTGCCCACAAGGGGCCCCTGTAGTCAATCTGCCTTGTGTTCTGCTGGCTCCAACTGCTCCTCCAGCTGCCCATTTATCTCAAGGGCTCTCTTCCCTCTGGCAGTTCTATTCATGCATTTACTCTTTGCTTTTTAACACACCAATTTAAACTTACATGTTTCTATCAGGGACCAGATCCTTCTCTTAATAGTTAACCTCTTTCTCTTTGACTCCCCTCTCTCCCTACCCTGTCTGCCTCACCCCACCTCATGCCACCTCCTGTGTCAAGATCACTGGGTAATTTATTTCCAGATTGTGTTTTTAATTAAACTTTATATCATATTGGCTTTTATTTGCATTTCCTTATGAATTTCTCTCTCTCTCTTTCTAATTCTGTGCATTTTCTTTTTCCTTTTTCTTTTCCATGGTAGTTTTGTTGGACTCTACAACCTAGATAAGTTTAAGAGGGAATTTAGTAGGTGATAATTTTGGAGGCATTACATACCCAGCATGGACTTTGTCTTACCCTCTAAAAGAATGCTACCTTCTGGGGCGCCTGCATGGCCCAGTTGGTTAAACATCTGACTTTGGCTCGGGTCCTGGGATTGAACCCTGAGTCAGGCTTCCTGCTCAGCGAGGAGTCTCCTTCTCTCTCTCCCTCTGCTCTTCCCCCGACTTGTGCGCTTCCTCCCTCTCTCTCTCAAATGAATAAATAAATAATATATATTTTTTTAAATGCTACCTTTTTTGGGCAAAGGACTCTTAACTTTAAAATACTTTCTCTCAGCACCTTGAAAATACTGTTCCATAATCTTCTGGCCCTTAGTGTTGCCCATGGGAAGCTCAGGGTCCACTTCTCATTCCTCCTCCTGCTAAAGCGGGAAAGGCGCTGCCCTTTAGGGACTCCACTGCTATGTGACACTGCATTTCTTTTTTATTTTTCCTTTTCTATGCCTACTGTGTTGCCAGAGGTTACCTGGGGCAGTGCCCCACTCTGCCCTCTAAAACTGCAGCCCAGGCAAAGTCCAAGCACACCGGCCCTCACCCCGAGGTGTCTCAGCCACTTCACGTCTGTTCTCCCAGCTGCGTCCAGGGTGAACCTCACACATAGACGGTCTCTGAATGAATGGACAAGGGACCAGTGTCTTTTGAGTGGTGTCTCTGCTGCCCCCCCACCCTGTTCCCATGCAGCTCTAAGCCAAGATATCCCAGCATTTGCTTGGAAACTAGGCCTCATGTCTTCCCCAGGCCCTGCCTCACTCACGGTGGTCCTGTGTTTCCCTCCCAATCTGACAGCACTCCTTAAAGACTGTCTAGAAATTCCTCACTTTTCCTGTCCACTGATGGTATCCTTCCCTCCTTCCCAGCCCTGTGCTCATTTTCTTGGGAGTATTTATTGAGTGTCTCAGGTATGCAGGTCTGTGTGAGGCCCCAGGACTCTTCTGGAGACCCAGTGCCTGGCTTCACAGAGCTTTGGGCTCAGCAAGAGTGGGACCTTAAATCTGGGGCCAGAAATTGTACGAAGTCTCTGGGGACAGCAGATGGTACTTAGGGGTGGAGGGTTAGGGACCCTCGGAACAGGTGACATTGTAAACCACAGGTTGTCTGAGAAGAGCATAGGTCCATGAAGAGAGGAAACGGAGACTCTCGACACAGTGAAAAGGCTCTGAGGTAAAAGGAATCCTAAGAAGCCTGGGGTGGCTTCAGTGCCCTGAGCCATGGGAACCAGGTGAGGGAGGAGAGGCAGGCAACTCCTCCTGTCAGGTGTGGGGTCGGGGGGGTGGGGGTGGTGTTAGCTGCCCTGCTGGGACAGCTGCTGTCTCAGTGAGCAAGACAAAGTACACCCCACTGGGGAGAGGTCCGCACATCAAATTTCTCTCTCTTCCCTCTCATTTCTTCTCTAACAGTTTTACTGAGGCACAATTTATATGACATAAAAGTCACCCAATTTTAAGTGTACAGCTCAGTGATTTTTTAGTAAATTTACTGAGTTGTGCAACCATCACCATAATCCCATTTTAGAATATTTTATCACCCCAGAGATAAGATGCTATTTTTAGTTAATGTCTTCATTTGCAACATGCACTGATGTGAAATGAGCTTTCCCTTCTAGGCCTTGCAGCTGGAACAGACGTGCCCTTTTCAGAGGTGGTGAAGTTAGCCCCAAATCCCAGATTAGCTGCTACCCCAACCCCAGGAGCTTCTCAGGTGAGAGACCATCAGAATCTGGTGGTAGCCTTTGCATTGTGAAAACCAACCACAGTTAACTCTTGAACAACACAGGAGTTATGGGTGCCAGTCCCCTTGCAGACACAAAAATGTGCATATAACTTTTGACTCCCTCAAAACTACTAATAGCCTACTGTTGACCAGAAGCCTTACTTATAACATACCTAGTCAATTAACACACATTTTCTATATTATATATGCTATGTACTGTATTACTATAATCAAATAAACTAGAGAAAAGAAACTGCCAAGAAAATAATAAGCAAAATGCATTTACCATCTACTCTATTGAAAAAAAATCCACCTGTAAGTAGACCCACACAGTTCAAACCCATGATGTTCAAGGTCAACAGTAGGTTTGGTTCTTCTTTCCAAAAGGTAAGTTTGGCTCTGTCTCTTAATGTTGAAGTTGATGTGTTCAGCTAATGGGGAAATCGTCCTTTTTGGGTTTTAATTGTCAGGGAAACAGAGCAAAAGGAGCCAGGTTGTCAGCTGAGATTCACAGATACTGCTGATTTTATAGTCCCAGGGGTCAGATCGATTGCTGGGTATGTCTTCAGTGTTCCATATGCCTCAGAACGAGCCCTTATACTTCGAGGGTTACAAAAGCCACAGAAAGACTCTGTCACTTATAAGCGTAAGATGTGCTGCATTTCTAGCCCTCAGATCTGAAGTCTGGATCCAAGACAGGTGTGCAATTCCCCAGGCCAGGAAATCCCCCCTTGTTACAGCTTGGGTTCTCTGGAAAGCAGACCCTGAGATGCTAATTGGGGTGCAGTACATTTATTGGGGGTGCTCTTAGGATCTACATCTGTTGAGGGGGAAATGAGGAGGCAGGATGGAGCAGAGGGAGGAGGTGAGCCATGGGGCAATCCCTGTGGAGACCTCAGCCAGCCCTAGGGCAAGTTCTGAAGCTGGGCTGACTCTTTGGACTCTAACCTAGCTGGGGTGAGGGGGCTGGGCCGTTACACCTCATGTCAGCTGGTCTCTGTATGCAGGCCACCCCAGGATGGGGTAAGGCAGCGCTCTCTAGCCAAAGCCATCCCCAAAGCGGGCTGTCAGCTGAGGGCTGGACTAATAAGGTCTTCGTTCTTAAGGGGCAGTCTGGGTGGTAGGCCACCGCATCCAGTATACCTCTCTTCCTATTTGCAGAATGTTCTTGCAGCCCAGGGGCAGGGCTGTGCAAACAGAGGGCGTTATTACTGATGCAGCAGGCAGTAGGGGCTTCATGCTTGTCCCAGATTCTCTTGGCCCTCAAGTGCCATGGGACGATATGGAGTGGGCCCAGGAAGATACTGTGCACACAGTGTGTCTGTGTCACAACCGAGTGACCCCAAGCTTAGGAAACTCCCAAATTATAAAGGACCTGCAAGGCAGATCTGCCCAACCTTTGCCCTCGAGGGAGACATTTTCTGTACTAGCCTGGTCAGTAAGTAAATTTTCCCTCTGCCCTGAGGACGACTCTATCTGCTAGTGCTATTTGCTGTATAAACATTGAAAGGATAGTCTGCAGCAAAGGCTGTCACCGGACATGTAGACACACCATGAAGAATTGTCTCCCAACCTATCTTGGGCCAGAAGCTCCCCATTTCTGGGTGACCACAAAACCCACACACGTAGGTGTGCCCTAGCTTCTCTTACTTTGTCCTTAAGTTGTGTGTCCTTACCTTTAAGAGGCAGCTCAACGCTGTAGGAAGATCTCAACTGATATAAAGGACCGTTGGGTTTTCATTCTTACCTTGCCTGTCCTATAGCATGTGACCTTCGTGTGACCTTGAGTAGCATTTCTCATCTCTGAGCCTATTCATCTGTGAAGTGGGGATAACATCTGGTCCTGCCTACTTTCAACCCACTAACTGTGAGATTTAAAAAGACTCCTTGGGGGGAACCTGGGTGGCTCAGTGGGTTAAACCTCTGCCTTCAGCTCAGGTCATGATCTTGGGGTCCTGCAATCGAGCCCCACATAGGGCTCTCTGCTCAGCAGGGAGCCTGATTCCCCCTCTGTCTCTGCCTGCCTCTCTGCCTACTTCTGATCTCTAAAAAAAAAAAAAAAAAAGACTCCTTGGCTCGAATGGCTTTATTATGTAACAAGAAGTCTGACTGTAGTCATGGGGCTGGTTCTGTGGTTCCACAACGTCGGGGCTCTAGGTTACAGTGCCTGCAGTTCTACAGATCAGCAACGGACAATGGCAACATGATAACCACCTATGTCACTTAAAATTTTCTAGAAGTCTCATTTAAAAATAAAAAAAGGAAAAAAAATAAATGACTAACTTCAAATATATTTTTTATCTAATCCAGTATGTCTGAAATACTGCCATTTCAACAGGCAGTCAATAAGAAAAATTGCTAATGTGCTATTTTACATTCCTCTTTTTTGTAAGAAGCTTTTGAAATCTGATGGGTGTTTAATCTTGTAGCACTCGTCCCAGTTCAAGTGCTTCCAGGCGTATATGACTTACAGCTCCTGTGTTGGGTAGCCCAGCTCTCAATGTGCTCCAGGTGACCCCAGGATGTCTGCAGCTGCTCCAGACATCCCACTCCCCACCCCACACTGTATCCATAGGCAGGACTGAGAGCCTGGCATTGGGCAGCCCCTCCTCACACACTTCTTGCTCATCAGGGAGAGAATCCTGGTCTGCTCTCTCAACTCTCAATAGGGCCAGGCTGCCGCTTGGTCCTATGGTCACACTTGTTTGTAAGAAAGGCTGCGGAAGGTCCTGGCTCTTTTGTCCTCTAGAAGGAGGCCCATGAGGGAGAAGGTAGTTGGAGAAAGCTTTAGGGCGGCAGACAACTGCATGTGTCTCCTTACAGGTAGCAAACACTGTTTGTGTACCACCACCTTCCCTGGCTTGCCCATGACCAGACTCACTAAGGGCTCCTGGAACTCCATACCCTTCAACCCAAGGGCAACGTCAGAATCCTTTGGAATGCCAGGTTGCAAGCAGCAGCAGGCTGTGTCTGTTGGTGGAATGACCTATTGGAGGACTGGTCTGTAAACTCCTTGGGAGTGGGGGACCATGCTGTGTTCTTTCTGTGGCATGTACAGCAATGGGTGTGCTCAATGGGAAACTCAAAACCATACCAGTGTTTTCTGCCCGCCCAGCTGAATATTGCAGTTTCCTCCTAACAGAGGAGGTCCAAGCTCTCGGTGAGTTCTCTGTTCTCTGTCACCTTCACCGAGCTGCCCTAGATGCGCCCAGAGTTGGCCCTGGGTACATAATCAGTGACTAAAGCACTTGACTTTGGAGCCGATTAAGTGGGGTTGGCATGAGCGAGTAGTGGCATTTGTGAGTCGCAAGGAAATCTGGATCCCTTGGTTAAGTGTTGCTTGTCTATAAGACCCCGTGTGCTGACCGGAAGTGCCCACATTTCTCAGGCAAGGCTTATTGAGTCACAGATGAAAACAGCTTCTAAAAAAAAAAAGGAGGGGTGAAGGAAGATTAAGAATATGGAGTTGTGAGGGGCACCTGGCTGGCTTAGTCAGTGGGGCATGGGACTCTTGATCTCGGGGTGCTGTGTGTGAGCCCCACATTGGGTGTAGAGATTATTCAAAAATAAAATCTTTTAAAAAACCCTTTTCCCTTATTGGTTTTTGGTTTGGGTTGATTATCCAGCACACTGCATATATAATTTTGTAGCCCACTTTAAAAAAAAACAAAACACTACAGTACAACATGAGTATTTATATTCTTAAAAATGAACATATACATTATATTTAATGACTGCAAAATATTCTGTTTGGCCGTAATTTACTTGTGATTTTATGTGTCTTAGAGCAGTTGCTTCTAGTTTCTTTGTTTTTTGTTTTTGTTTTTACAAAAGATTTTGCCCATTTACTTGAGAGAGAGAGAGAACATGAGCAGGGGGAGCAGCAGAGGGAGAGGAAGAAAGAGGCTCCCTGCAGAGCAGGGGAGCCCGATGCAGGGCCTGATCCCAGGATCCTGGGACCACAACCCGAGCCAAAGGCAGATGCTTAACCGACTGAGCCACACAGGCGTGCCTTCTAGTTTTTAAATTACTGTATTGAAATTATGTGGGTAAAAGTTTGAGAAAACCTTTTCCTATTCTGCATGAGAATTTGAACTTTGGTTCAACTACTAGCTCTGTTTCCTTTGGAATGTCAACAGTATTACTATGCAACATCGCCGAAGTAAAAATGGCCTTTAAGTGGGGCACTGCATCTGGAGGGGGGAAAACCATATATGCCTGATGGGAAGTCATACTTAGGGCCTTCCTGAGCCCAGTGATGTCTCATGGGCACATGTCTTGCCTGTGGAGCTGTTATAAGAGATATTCCCATGGGGCATGAGGTTTCAAAGCCAGGCTGCCTCTTGCACCTGTACCATGTGGATTTCACTCCCTTGCATCTGAGCTGTAGCATAGCAGGCAGGGAGACCCTTTCCTGGACACTTGTGCAAACTGCTGTTAGGACCACTGTGTCGTCTTTGACTCAAGTTTGTTTCTCCAGTGTGCCGTATTGGTTGTACCCTGAGAGACAGAATGTGTGTGGCCCATGGTGGTCTTAGGAGATTAGACAGTTAGTGGTATGGCACCCTACATTTAGGATGGTTTCCTTAGGAGAGCTTTGTAGAAGTAGAATAACTGGGCCAAAGACTGGGCATTTTCAAGCCCTTTAATACCGAGGTACGGTCAAGTTGATTTCCAGAAGGGTTGCACCACCAACTTCACCAGTTGTGCAACAAGATAGCATTTCCAGATATCTTCACCAGAATTTTTAAACATTTTGTAGATTTGATAACAAGCTTTTTGGTCCTGATTTGCATTTTTTAAAAATCTTAAGCTGTAGGTTTGGGAACTACTAGCGTTTCCTCTTTTGTAAATTGATGCCTCCTTTCTTTTGCCAAGCACAAATGCTTAAATTGCAAGTACATGGCATGCTAAATTTTAAAATTGCAAGTTGCAAAGAGATGAGAGGCACCTCTCCCTCCCCATTCTAAACTGCTCTTTCTGCCCCT